ATTAACCCATAATAAATGTACTCAAAATGTGCTCTTGAGTAGAATTGCATAGAAGATGGTGAACTAATCCAACTACGATGTTAACAGAGTCAAAGCCATTATTTCAGAAATTTGGTTAGAGTGAAATCAACGGATTTTTGAGGATAAACATCTTAGTCGGATCGATTGTTTTGAGTTGGCTAGATTACATGCTCCATCATCGAAATTATTAAGGATATATATTCTTTTTTAAATTGGGATGTCTTTATTATCCCATCGTAGTTTGTACTTTTTTCTCTTTTCTTTTCACTCCTCTTTGGAGTTTATCTCTTTGAACATTTTGTTTCTTTTCATCAATTCACTGAAAGGTTTTGTTTCTTGTTAAAAAAACAAACTTGAAAGAAGGCAAACCCACAAATATTAAAAACTATCCAAACTTAACAAATATCAAAGACCTAACTAAAAAATTTTCAGAGCTTTACCACATCTTTTTACTTCTAAAATGATTGTCTACGTGCAATTTTATAGCCCAAACTGTCAACTCATTAATTGGTCGTTTCCAGTTTCAACCCMTTCATGTGATATGTTCTGATGTGAAACCCTAGAGGATTGAAGGTAAAAACTCCTTCACTTAAGGAGAACTCTTGTCAAATTTTAAGACCTCAAAATTTATTTAGAATCAACCCCGAAGAAGGATTCTATGGAGGATTACTTTGATGATCAAATACCAATAAGGTATGGTTCTTTGACTCAAAGGCTGGAACAATCCATAAGAGAATTGATCACTCTCCCTTGAATGTTCTTGAATATGCAATGCAAAGCACAAGAGTTGCGAAGATAYAAGGTTCATGGCTCTTTTAATCAAAACTCAAAACGCATCCAATTCATTAGTGAAGGGTCCTTTAAGTAGGTAGTACAAGAATCTAAAACAGTAAGAAATCTTGATCTAAATGAAAGTCCTATTGGTGACAAATAAGGCCAAGTTGGACGGTAACATGACTCGTTATTGAACGAAACAAGAATAGTACTATCCTAATAGCTAGAATAAAGACCACGTCATTGGTGATTGGCCAACAAAGGAAAGTACTAAAATGCCCCCAACATAATATGAGCCATGGGTAGGGGCAAATCAGTAATGTCACTAAAAACATAGTAAAATTTACATCTAATTATATCATATGGTTCAGTCATCACGAGAAGAAACTTGGCATTGAGAAATCTCGGATCCTCCTTGGCAATTGGAATCATTGGGAAATAGGGAACAAAGTTCTAATTCCTCCTAGTCAAGGTTATTATATTTAAGATTCATACCATGAAAAACATATTAAAACAGAAGGGAGATAAAGTATGATCATACTTGTGGGAACTATGTTTTTTAAGTTTATTGTTGTATTTGTGAGTGTTTAGAAGCAATAGAAAGGTAGTGAAGTGGAGGTTTGAAGAGCAAAAATGCGTTGAAGTGAAAACCCCTGGGACTATTCATTATTGAACGCAAATCTGTGATATGGGGCATTTTTCAAGTATCTGCTTTCTTCTTTATTTGATATTCTACTGGCATGCCTTTTTGCTGTAGCATTATCAAGTCAAGAACTAGTCAACGTTGGGAAGAAGATGATGGATGATGCTGATCCGGCAATTGAGTGTTCTAAAATGGTAACCAGCTTTTTAAGATGCACATGTTTTTTCTTTTTTTTCCTTCCTAACGCGAAGTTTGATGTATAGGTAGTTGAACAAACAGTTGAAGTGGGAAGGCAATCTGCTTCTATATTGGAAGGCCAAGTAAGTATATATGCACAATTGAAATTGCACCATTTTCTTAATGCAAGAAAAATACGTTCTATTTAGTCCTAGTTGTCCAACTAACTCAAATCTTCTTTTAAGTGTATCTTACACTTCTTTTAAGTGTTTTTTACAGCAAGTGTAAGATGTCAAAGTTTTAATATAGTGATGAGTTAAAAAGTTGTTCTATAGGATTAGGATTTATAGCCTACTTAAGTATTGTCAATTATGTAGCTCAATTTTATTTAAAATTGATGAATGTAACTAGAAATCAATTAAATTGCAAATTCAAATGACGGATGAAAATATTATAAAGAAACCATCCTAGAAAATTGATTTCACKGATTAAATTATGAATTGAATAACTAAAGTAGCCAAGCCCTCAAGGKGCAATCCAGTTGGCAAGGGCTTGAGGTCTCTTGGTCATACTGGCTGAGACCGGCTTAGAGGTCTCAAGTTTAAACCTTCCGGTGAGCTTAATACCAAAAAACTTTGATGTCTCCCAGATTCGAGCCTTTGGGCCGGTGCAGGCCCCCGGGTATACAAGAGCTACTCCCAGTTATCAGAAAAAAGAAATAGTAACTAGCATAGCCAAGACTAAATAATTCTCAATTCTATAGGCTAAGAACTCACATATCTCAATTGCCTTTCTCAACTGCTGGCTAAGTTCTCCTTTCTAATTACGAAATTAACATCTCTATTAAATTTCAATAATTTGCAAAGATTTCAAGTCCAATTCTTTTAGGGACCTCTATAGAGTTTTTAGATCTCCCAAGTCTAGAACTCTTTCAGTTATGCTTCTAAGATACAATTGTAACCCACCTCACACGAGTGTAAGATTTTTGGTCTAAAATCAATGAAAAGTTCATATTTTGTTAAAAAAAACAATTAATTTGTTTCCAGCAGATTAAGAGCATGAAACATATAAAAAAACCACTAGAACCTTTGAATAAATTCAATCAAGGAAGAAAAAAGTCAAATCTATAACAATTAATGGTTACACCAATCCCTAAGACAAGGAATTTAGTAATCCATAATGAAATTTATTTACAACTCAATTTCAAGAATTCCACAAATAAAAGTGCAGGGAAGTTGAGGAAAAGGAGAGAAATTGTGTTGCTGTCATGTATATACATAAACCTGTCTTTGAATCAATCTTCAGAATCTGGATTAATTAGTGACTCTTAGAATTCATTTTCATGCTTTTAATTTTTATATCCTATTCTTATCAAATTTTTTTTTCATATCCTATTGGTCTGTCTTGTTTTTGTTTTACTCTTGTTTCTCACTCCATTTTGGAGTTTGTATCATTGAACTCTTTGTTTATTTTCATTCATCAATTAAAATTTTCATATTTTGTTCTAGAAAAAAGAATCAATCTTCACAACCTGGAGTCGCCTTACTCTCTACAATGTTGCTGCCGACCTACTATCTCTTTTCTCCCTAATTCCCTTCTCAATATTTTCAGTTTTGTGGGGCTTGTGGTTGTAGAGGAATAACAAAAAATTAGGGAGGCATTTATAACTCCTCCAGTGGTGTCTTTTAATTTAAGTTGATTCTACTTTTATTGTCACTTTTACTTTTGTTCACTCATTTTGTAGTTTGTATTGTTCCTTTTCATTCATCAATGAAAAGTTCCTATCTTGTTCCAAAAAAAAATCCAAAAAAAAATTAGGGATGAGAAGAGATCTTGGGAGGAGGTATGGTCTTTGGCAAGGTTTAAATACCTCTACTTAGGCCTTATATTCCAAGGACTATGGTAATTAATTCGTTAGGTCTCATTATATTTGATTGAAGCCCTTTTCTGTATAGTTAGTTGGTAGGATTCCCTGGTTGCAGGCTGTTTTGGTTTGGCTTTTTTGTAGCTTTTGGTTTGTTCTTTGTTCTCTTGTTTTCTTTCATTCTTTTCTCAATAAAAGCTTGATTTCTCATTTAAAGAAAAATATATTTAGCAAAAACAGCAGCCAAAACAGATTTGGTGCGGAGAAAAAGGACCACATATATTATTGAGATTAAGTAAATCTCTTCCAATAATGGATCCCATCCATTATTTAGCCCATAAATCCAATCCATGAAACTGAAACTTGTTGCTTGGTGGAACAATTTACAATTTTTTTTTAATAAATACCATTTGCTTTTTAATGAAGGGTTTTTACTTTTTATTTTTTATTTTTTTTATTTTTAAAAGAAGGGTTTATTTCTCATTATCGGATTGATCTTTGGACTTTGGGACTAGTTGAGGCTTGATATGCTTTTCCTTTCTTTTCTCGAAAAAGTTTCAAATTTGAAGATTTTCCATGAATGTTTGCCCGAATATCCATTGTTTGACCTATTTTCTAGAAGTTCTCACACCATCGCCCTGGCCTCCTTGAAGTCAAAGCTAGTCTTTCAATTTGAAGAGATGTGGAATCAGGAATGTTCCAATATAAGCTTTCTTCGTCCTCTTCCCAGCAAGCTTGAACAAAAACTTCTCCAATATTAGGTAAAGAACTTGAAAGGCCTTTTCCTTTTAGTGATCTTATAAGTGGTTGCATTAGTTGTGCCTCCCGTCCAACGGTTTCACACAAATCTAATGGTTGCCACTCGCCAATATCTAACCAATTGACTGAAGTATTGAGTGACAGGGTCATCACCTTGGATTACTTACCTCTCTTAGCTCATGACCACACCATACGCATGGGCAGGCGTAACTAGTGCTCATCATTTGAGCGCCTCAAAATTTACCTTAGGGATTCTATTGCATAATGCACAGAATTTTTAATGAAGTACAGTTGCATATTCTCTGAATTTTAATTTGGTATGCTTTTGTAAATGTTGCTGGATTTGATCCCAACCCCCTGTTTTTCCTTAAAGGTTTAGACTTAAAATTTTAGGTGCATGCTTATTGATTCAAAATAATAACCATCATTTTGTTTTCCCGAGAGGTCTGATAAAATATTGCATAATAACCCTGAATTTATTTAAAAAAGATCAAACGTTTTGTCAAGCACGTCAAGTCGATACTTGGTATGAGCATATTCTCAATATTAGTACCTTTCCTTATTTGCTTGTTCTTTTCTGCTATAATCTTTTGTGACTGCATCTCGCTACTGACATTTCTTTTATCATAAAATTTACACTAGATGTTTTAATTATTGGGCATTGTTTGTAATGTTATCATGTGTAAATTGCTTAGGCCACAGCTACGAAGAAAATAATTGCTATATGCCAATCAGGTGGTGAGTTTGTGAAAAATAAAGATGGATCCCTGTATTACAATGGGGGCGAGGCCTATGCTATAGATATTGATCAGCAGACAAATTTGGATGATTTTAAGACAGAAGTAGCAGAAATGTTTAGTTGTAGTATTCATACAATGTCCATCAAGTATTTTCTTCCGGGTAACAAGAGAACTCTCATCTCGATATCCAAGGACAAGGATCTAAAGCGGATGGTAAAATTTTTGAGGGATTCTATCACGGTTGATGTGTTTATCTTGTCAGAGGAAGCTGCTGCTCGAAATTTATCCAACATGCCTGCTAGTAGGTAGTTATCTTTGAGTCATGTTTATTTTCTGTACTTATTTTGTTCCATTAATTTTGCCTTATTTTCAAACCAGCCAAATCCACTCATTCTAATCGCTCATATTTAGTATTTATTTGTTTGTAATATGACGTAAATGACATAGGGTTTTCTCTTTATCAGTAGAGGTCCTCCATTTTTAATTGTTATTCTTTTCATTTGAGGGTGCTTCATTCTCCTATTACTTTCCATGTTTCTCTTTCACTAAAGCTGTGATCTTTAGAAAAGTTGGATCTTTTAGATGGCTTAACCACAAGTGGATTTTGAAGTGCTACCGATGGGGAATGGAGGTTATTGTTCCTTTGTCAAACATAATCCAATCAGATTTCCCATATTTGTGGTTTGATTTGTTTTTTATAATTTTTTTTTATTTTTAAAAATAATTAATATAATGAGTATCAAAAAAATATTGAAAATAAAACGATATTTATATCGCTGTTACAAAAAATGCTCTCCACACCTCTAGCCCTTCTGCCCTGCTCTTCCCCACCTTCTACGAATGCCACCTCCCTTTCAACGGTCATGACTATATTTCTACACCACTTTTTTCTTTTTTGTCTCTGTGATCACTATTTTCTTGTGCTTTTATATGCTAAGTTGGTGAAGTTATTTTTTCTATCGGTATAATTAACTATTTATGAATTTAAATTTAAATACTACAAAGTTAAAATATCTTCCCGTATTGTTGTTAATCATTTTTTTCTTTTATCTCTTTTGAAAGTTTTTTTTTTTCTCTTTTTGCTTTTCATTATATCAATGAAAATTCTCGTTTCCCGTTAAAAAAATTATTTTTTAAATTTAATGATAATTATAAAATTTAATTTAAACTGGTAAAATTTTCTATATTTAAGTACCTTTATGTTTCTAAGAACCCTATGATATATTTTAAATTTAATGATAATTGAAAATGCAGGTCAAGTAGAACAACAGTTTCTGAGGCAGTAGTTCCTGTAGTTGCGCCTGTAGATGTTGCAGTTGAGACCATCATTGCCATCGATCAGATTGGAATGGATGTATCCAGTGAAGTCCCTTTAATTTGTGTTCCTGCCGGGTCTAGTGATGAAAAGCATCGAAAAGCTGCACAACAATGGGAAAATGCCATAATTGGTGTAGACCAAAGGTTTAACAGTTTTAGTGAATTCCGAGAAGCTTTACATAAGTATTCAGTTGCTCACGGTTTCGCTTACCGGTATAAGAAAAATGACAGCCATCGTGTCACTGTTAAATGCAAATACCAAGGCTGTCCATGGCGAATATATGCTTCAAGGTTGTCTACGACCCAACTGATTTGTATTAAGAAAATGAACACAAGTCATTCATGTGAAGGGGCTGCTGCTAAAGCTGGATATCGGGCCACCAGGGGATGGGTGGGAAATATCATAAAGGAAAAGTTAAAAGTCTCCCCAAACTACAAGCCAAAAGATATTGCAGATGATATAAAACGAGAATATGGAATTCAATTGAACTATTCACAGGCATGGCGTGCAAAAGAGATTGCAAGAGAGCAACTTCAAGGCTCCTACAAGGAAGCATATAATCAGTTGCCATACTTCTGTGACAAGATTAAAGAAACCAACCCTGGAAGTGTTGCTTCATTCACCACCAAAGATGACTCGAGCTTTCATCGCCTATTTGTATCATTTCATGCCTCCATTTCTGGTTTCCAGCAAGGTTGTCGGCCGCTCCTTTTCCTTGATAGTACTCCGTTGAACTCAAAGTACCAGGGGGTGTTTTTGACCGCCACGGCAGCAGATGGAGAAGATGGTATATTTCCAGCGGCTTTTGCAGTTGTAGATGCTGAGACAGATGAAAATTGGCATTGGTTTTTACTGCAATTGAAATCTGCAGTGCAAACGTCAGAGCAGATTACATTTGTTGCAGATTTTCAGAATGGACTGAACAAGTCTTTGGCTGAAATATTTGACAAGTCTTACCATAGCTACTGTTTGCGCCATCTAGCTGAAAAGCTTAACAATGATTTAAAGGGCCAATTTTCTCATGAGGCAAGGCGATTTATGATTAATGATTTCTATGCTGCTGCTCTCGCATCTAAACTTGAGGATTTCCAGCGCTGTGCTGAAAGTATAAAAGGAATTTCACCTGATGCTTATAATTGGATCATACAAAGTGAACCAGAACACTGGGCAAATGCATTCTTTGGAGGAGCGAGGTATAACCATATCACATCAAATTTTGGACAGCAGTTCTATTGTTCTGTATCTGAAGCACATGAATTGCCTATAACACAGATGATTGATGTACTACGGGGCAAAATGATGGAAACAATATACAGACGCAGGGTTGAGTCAGATCAATGGATGACAAAATTAACACCTTCAAATGAGGAAAAGTTACAGAAAGAAATATCAATAGCGCGGTCATTTCAGGTTTTGCTCTCCCATGGAAGCACATTTGAGGTCCGGGGGGAATCTGTTGACATTGTTGATGTCGATCATTGGGATTGTAGCTGTAAGGGATGGCAACTCACTGGTTTGCCTTGTTGCCACGCTATTGCTGTCTTTCAATGCATTGGTAGGAGCCCATATGATTATTGCTCCAGATATTTCACAGTTGAGAATTACCGCCTAACATATGCTGAGTCAATTCATCCTGTCCCGAATGTKGATAGACCAATCTTGGGAGAATCTACTCAGGAATTAGTCACAGTAACCCCTCCACCTACTAGAAGGCCGCCTGGTCGTCCGAAGATGAAACAGAACGAATCATTAGAAGTAGTTAAACGCCAGCTCCAATGTAGCAAGTGTAAAGGCCTTGGCCACAATAAGAAAACATGCAAAGATTCTTAGCTTCGTTTTAGGAGTTCCAAAGTAGGTAATTACTCCTTGACTTTGTTTCACTAATTGTTAATATTTACTTGTTGCTATCTATGGTCTATCTCGGGCTTAAGGTAATTGAAATTTTGTTGGTATCTTACGCATTCTTCGTCAGGCTTCTTCTTCCTACTTCTGGAGAAAATTCTTTTTATACTAATATTTAKTATAGACTAAGTGGCAACTTCCTCTGTGGATTCTTGTTTTGTAGAACATTTCAGTACTATTGGTATGTTAATACTATCTTGTCAATTTATGGGCTATTAGGATGGCTACTTTGGAGTTTCACAGACAAGTTTGATGAGTTCACGAGTTCACATGGACAATGGTTCTTATATATATATATATCTTTCTCTTCCTTTTAAAATGTAAAGTTATTTGCTTGGTTGGAACCAAAGTGAGGAATGAAGTAATGTTGGGATAAGAAGTTCCAACAAAGAGTTGAAGAATAAAGTAATAAAGGAACATTAAAGTGACTTCATATAGAGACACCTATGAAGAGTCAAAGTGAACTCTCTAGTCTCTACCAAATGAGTACGTCTTTAGCCATATCCTTGGAGATTCAGTTATTTCTCTTTTTCTCAAACACCAAATGATGTCCATGAAGGCAGATGCAAAGTGGTCTCCTCCCTCTTATTTTTGAGGTTTAAGCTGTTTAAATCTTTCAAGAATTGATCAAAGACGGTGTTATGCACCCAGGTTTAATTTGTGTGTGTAATAAATTTCTTGGACTAAATCTTCAAATGATAGGAATAAATTGATACTTTATCTATAAAAAAAGATTGATAATTTAACTTAAAGAACCTTAACCGTAGTAATATTTTCCCGAACGGCATATTATGTTATGTAATCACGTCATAAATTGCGTTCTCTATGTCTAGTGTCTGTAGCTCCTCTCTTCGATTTTCTCTGTTCACAATTGTACCGGACGAGGCTTCAACTTTCTCTTCACCCTTCAAAGCCGCCATTAACTTTGTTTTGATGGCAAACTTACGCCATCTATATGCATTGAACATTCCACAATAAATTGACAGAGTCGCTTTTTGTAGAGGAATGGTCCGCATCTTGAAATGAACTCCCAGCTAGAGCAGTTTTGTGGTGAAATTTGCGGCAGTTTTTGTTTCGAGGCCTCTTGTAGGTTTTCTCGACTGTACACTATATTTTTACTTAATTGTTTTTCGGATAAAATACATTTTTGGTTTTTATGATAGATATCTATTTAATTCCCGACCTTTAAAAAAGAGTTTTAAAAGATACCCGGAGTTAAAATTCCATTAGTGTCATTATTTGTCGGTCGCTTTTTTATTTTGATCATTCCCCCATCTTCGCAGCAGTTCCTTCGCTTATCATAGTGGGAACATGTTCCCTCTGCAATTTAATCCTGGAATTTCTCATTTCTTTCTTGTTCTCTCTGCTATAAATTGCATTCCTCTTTTCTTTTCCTATGGCATCTCAATTACGAAATCCTGTCGGAATTATGTGTGTATGCATATTCTCCAGCCTTTAACGTAATTCAGACAACAAAGTTCAATCAAGATCAACGAGGCGTTCTGCAACTAATTTAAATGCTGCAGATTTGAAGGGAAGTTGTGAATCTGTTCTCTGGACGTCCCCATTCTTGGAAAATGCCATCACTTCTAGTTCTTGCCCTTCACCCTCCCTTATGAGCTCCCCGAAAGTTCACACATCATGCTCATCCATGTCTGAGCTCAAGTAATTTCACCCCCAGATCATCCGTCTTGGTCTCTCTATTTACTATGATACCATGGGCGCCGTCTCATCAGGTTCTCTTTTTTTCAGCACAATCCCCAACCCAGATGTATCAATAACTTAATAAGAGGTTAACTTACCGCGGTAGAGCTTGCGTACTTTTGTATTTTTAAATGCTACATAATTTTGTCCTTCCCAATAAGTTACCATTTCCTTTCTAAGTCGCTCATTTTGATGCCATGTGTATGATTCAGGCATCTAAAGGGAAGCTATCAGAAGCCCAAGGCAGAAAAGTCTTCCAACACTTAATTGATGGTGTGAGTTACTGCCACAGAAAAGGCGTTTTCCACAGGGATCTCAAGSTAATTAAGATACGATTAACAAAAACAACTTTGAATTATAAGTCAATTGGTCGTGATTTTCCTTTTCTTGGAATGGAAACCTACGCAGCTGGAGAACATACTTGTTGATGCGAAGGGAAATATTAAGATATCTGATTTTGGCTTAAGTGCGTTACCCGAGCATTTTAGGGTAAGTAGCAAAGCCAGGGTTTTAGCTATTGTATAATCTCCCAACGTTTTCCTTTGTCCAATATTTAAAAATAAAAATAAAATTTAATGAATGCACAGGATGAYGGTCTGCTCCACACCACGTGCGGAAGCCCCAACTACGTGGCACCAGAGATTCTCGCTAACAGAGGATATGATGGTGCCGCCTCAGACATATATGGTCCTGTGGCGTTATCTTGTACGTAATTCTTACGGGATCACTCCCTTTCGATGATAGAAATCTGTCCGTCCTTTACACAAGGTAAGTAGGGTGTCAATACTTTACCTTTTATGCATGAATATAATTGACGTTAGTCTATTAATCTTCTGCTCTGTTTCGAATTTCAACAATATAATTGACTGATTTCCAAATATTTCACTTATAAAAACTGCTCATAAGATGGTGATTAAGTGTACGGTATTATTAAACTATATGTATGAATTTGCTGTGTCGTGGTAGTACCTTTTTGGGATCTGGGAAGTTAATGTAGAATTTTGTAGTAGAGATCATGCCCTGTATTTAATTTATTCTGGTGTTGAAATTTCAGATCTTTAAAGGAGAAGCCCAGGTACCGAAGTGGCTGTCAAATGGAGCCCAAAATTTGATCAGAAGGATTCTTGATCCGGACCCTACTTCTCGGATAACTGCGGCCGGTATCAAAATGGACGAGTGGTTTAGGAAGGACTACTGTCCGGCTTGCCCTGACGATGAGGAAGACAATATATACACTGATGGTGATGGTGAAGGTGGGGCCGCCATCTCAATGCAAATACATCAAGTGGTAAGGCCCACCAATTAGCTAGTTTTGGTTATAATTGGATGCCATGCCACTATCAACTTTTGATACCTGCCCTTTTTTCCTTCATGGGCTAGCCAGCGGCATCTGCTCCCACCAACACCACTATAAATGCTTTTCAACTGATTAGTATGTCCACCGGCCTAGACCTTTCCGGTTTCTTTGAGAAAGAGGTGAGAATAATGGAATCCATGAATTTGCTTGTTCACTACAAGTAGAGGTACGCCGTCAACCACTTCCACGCTGGCTATTGTCTTATTTTGCTATGCCGTAAAAATTTAATCCAGGACATTTCTGAGAGGAACGTCAGATTTACAACCAATCACTCCGCAAAAGAAGTTATCCTCAAGCGGATGGAGGATATTGTAACACAGATGGGGCTTCTCGTCCACAACAAAGAAGGAAGGGTTCGTCACTGTTTAATTTTTTTTTTCTTTTTCCCTCACCTTACTGATTGAGAAACATTATATATATTCTTCAGATAGCCTAGAAAAATCCTCTCTGAAGGCCATGGGGTTCAAAATAAATAAGGAAAAAAAAACACTTTTTATCCTCTTCCTCCCAAAAAGAGGCTGATACGCTGTCGCCATCTCCCAAAAAAATTATGTTTTCTTCTGTTTTTTTTGGGCCATAATTTGCAATTTCCATAGGAGACTTTGTTGTCCCTTTTAAGGAAACTCTAAATCATTTCAATGGATTGTTGCGCTGATAAAGAAGTCCCCCCTCCGCTATATAAAGATATATATCCACAAAGAATTTTCTTTATTGCTCCTTTTATGGTTTTGGGAAACACCATTCAAGAACACACCACCCTGTCGAAGGTATGGGCATTGGGTTTTCTAAGGTGTGATCTGATCTGCCATTAATTCCTAATTTATTGTCCAAGTCAAGTGTAAAAGTTAAAACCTTTTCAAAAGTGCTGTTCTTCCAAATCGATTGACAAAGCTTGGCTGAAAACCGGGTTAGAAAACAATCAAACATCCAGTTCCACGGCCCCTAGCTAGACTATTGTTTTGTAACCATTTGGCATTGGACTGGCGAAGTTATATACTTTTCCAAATGAACTGAAGCATGTATAGTTGTCTGTTGTCGATCCATTTCAGTTGAAAGTAATAAGAGAGGACAAGGGTCAGAATGGCGTGACCGGTATACTTTCGGTATCAGTAGAGGTACGAAGTTGCTTTTCAAAAATACAATACTTGAAGGGTGTTGGCTTGTGATTTGGTGGGTTTTTACTTTTAGTGATGTTTGTACGTAAATATATTGCAGGTTTTTGAGATAAGTGCATCACTATACGTGGTAGAATTAAGAAAGTCGCGGGGAGATTCATGTTCATATAGACAGTTGTGCCACCTCCTCGTCTTCCTTCACTTAATTTCAATAGAGGTGACCTGATTATTATGTAAAAATGTGCAGTTGTGTAAAATATTATCAACTGAATTGGGTATCCCCTCCAAGTCCACCCAAGACTCGCTCATGACATAGGCACGCGGAAAAGGTTGGACGTCTTCAACTTACAAAGAAAAGGAAAATAAGAACGCATATATATTTGTCATTCGTGGGATTAAGAGATAGATGAGAAATTGTAGTTTTAATTATCGAATGGGTGGGGATATAAAAGGCTGGTGGGTTGATGAAAGGTTTCTAATTATTCTCATTTGTTTTAGTATTCCTCAAACTCACCATCCACGTCGGGTCTTAATTAGTTGAACTAGCTTTAATTATTCATTAAGCTCTTTTGATCACTTTTGTTATTAATTAACTTGGCCAAGCATATATATATAGGAAATAACTTGGCCATATTAGTTCTTGTACTTGTATTCAAGTGGTCTTTTCATGCTTCAATTCTTTCTTGGTTCGTGATGGTATGACATCAGCACTACCCTTTTATCATTCCTCTCCAACCAACCTTAACCCTTTTATGAATTAGAATGGTGGATCACAAGTTAAATATTGCCTATCATTTCATTTATGAATAATCTAATTACTATGTATTTGTTAATCGTATTACATAAATTATAAATTTATACTATATGGATGTATATATTTCTCAAACCAACTGTTGGTTACTCATTTACTTTTACATACAATAAATATATAAAAATCAAAACAAAATCTAGATAAACTAAAGTTTTSGTAGTATTTTATTTCATAAAATCCTAACACATGAAACATAAACTCATATTTTCCAACTCTAGGTTGCACACCTTTACAACTATAGCTGATGAGCCAAATATGAACAAATAGAAAAATTGATCCAATTTTAGTTGGTTCAAATTTTGAAATGACAAACTTTTGGGTTGAATTTTTATTTTTCCTTGGTTCCTCTCGTACTAGGTTTAACTACTATTGCAACACCCTCATTCATTCAAGGTCGTTCTTCACGGACACTTAGAAAAAATATGTGACTCTGAAGCGACAGGTGGTGTGTACAAAGGGTAGGGACGACATAGTCAACGTGAGCTGATGACTCGCGCATACTAGGAATTCTTCGTTGAAGACTAACCATTACAATTATCTATCCCCATCATGATGAAATTTTAGTGAAGTCTCTATCATGTTCTTAAGTTAATCACAGTAATGTTTCAATACTTAATCATTTTTTTTATATGCACATTTTTCGTCCACATCTTTTGTTATCAATAACAATATAAACCATAAAGTTCTTCGAATATAACACGTCCATTCAAAAAAAGAGTATAGAGCAAAAATGTACTTTCACTAGTAGTAGCTTGTAATGTGATTGCATATGATACCAAAATCCTAAATATTATATTAAATAATATATCATATCATATATGTTTAAACTATGATATAGTATGATATGCAATAGGTGCCTAAACTAAATTTAATCAAATTTAAAAAGTACTTTTCAACATTGAATAAAAATGTACTTTATAAAAACCCCAGATATTCAACCAATAGATTTGGTTCAAAACATATTTTGAAATTTGAAAGTGATTTGATTAAGTTGAAAAGATTGATTCAAATTTTGTAAAGAAAAAGATGGATATACCACTACTTGAAAATTTTGTTGAATAACAGATAAAGAATAAGTTAATCAAACAAAAGTTAACTAGTTAAAAAGTATTATAAACTCCTCACCCAACTTTGTTTGAACTAAAAAGAATATTGAAAAGGAGCAGGAGGGGAGGGACGATTGATTTGTAAAATTAGTCTTTATGAAAGAAGAAGAAGGGTTTTTGGTGTTTAATTTTGTATGTAATTTCTTTGATTTATCACGTGTTTAACTAAACTGATATTTATAATTGAAATATTGTTCTTGAAAATGTTGAAACTGAAGTATCTATTTACTTGTTATTATTTAAGAAGCCAAATGAGGAAGCTTTGCAGTGGTGAACCGTTGACAACCAAAGCGAAACGGAAAGAAGGCAGGCGCCGGGCAACAGCAAAGCAACATGCCACTCTGTTTTCTGCGCTTATTTCTAAAATTCTCATCCGCTAATTAATTAATGTGCAGTCTTATAACTTAATACCACATAATCAATTGCCAGCCTATCTCACACATTCTCTCTCTATCTCTCTCTCTGCTCCCCTTCCCTCGATCTTCTCCCTTTCCCTGAATGCGAGTTCTTCCGCTCCGCCTTCAATTTCGAATTGCCCTTCGCGTTCTTCGCTTCGCTCTGCCCTCTTACTTTTCACCATTCTTTCTGTTTCTTTGTACCAATCTAACTCTGCATCCGACTAGGGTTCAGATTGTTTCCTCTCCCCTCTCCTAAACCTTCCTCCATGCTTAGGTGAACCTAACACTACAGATGCAATAAACAGTCTGAATCATCGCAACTCACACTTCCGGCGAAATGGCCACCGGCTTGCAGATGAGTCCTCAGTTAGAGCAGATCCATGGTGAAATTCGTGACAATTTTCGGGCCCTTTCGTACGTTTTATTCACCTTGCCCTTAATTTGTATTGTTCTTTTTGTTATTATCTCTTCCTTGTGTTCCTGCTTTTCCTTTTCTATCTATGGCCCTATTCTTTTGTGTTAAACTCCCAACCACAGTTCACAGTAGATATTGCCCCATTCGATTATCAAATTTTTGAGTTTAGGTGCTTTAGATGTCTGGTTCGCTGACACTGAGACTTGTGTCCCTTCCCCGATCTTATTCCTCGTCGCAGTTTCCCACATACTTAATCTTGAGAATACATGACTGCTTGTTATCGAAAATTCTAGGATCCAACACCAGTGGAACTCCTTTGGGACTTGGTGGACTTTGGGCTCGTCTGACTATGTTTTTGTTTTTAAAGATGCTTATTTATTGAAACCTATTTTTATTTTGTCATCTAATCACAAAGCGTAGTTTTAAAAATACCTTGTTCTATTTTTGAAAATTGGGTACAATTTCTAAAGTATTTTTAAGCAGTGAAAAACTAAATCAGAAAATATAGGCTTAACTATTTTTCATTAGCTTAACTTTTGAAAACAGAATATTTTATACAAAGTTTAAATTTTAAATGGAATTTTAAGTAGATAAACTACCAAGAAGCGTTGGAGCTAATTAAAGTTTTGGTTCTCTAAAATTTTCAATTAAATTGGATGTCACTAGCTCTATGGGAATCTTAAGTCTGTATATAAGCCTACTTAAGCAGAGAAATTAATCATAAATTTGGAGGATTTGTGTGGTAATGCTGCAACATCACTTGAAGTTGAGATCATTTATTCAATATCAGCATTATGTTTTTGTCATATATATATCAGCATTATGAATTTATGATATCCGCTTGATTTGTACTTTCAATCAGAAATGGGTTCCAAAGACTGGATAAGATCAAAGATTCCAATAGACAAAGTAAGCAGTTGGAGGAGCTCACAGGAAAGATGAGGGAATGTAAGAGGTATGGAAAAACCAGAACATGGTTCTTTGAACATGTGGGAACTTATCTTGTTGCATTACAAAAAATTTGCAGCGTGCAAATTCATTTAGTTGCTGGCTGAACATATAAAAYGAGTAAAATTAGAGTTGACTTGACATGCTTCCCAGTTTGCTTATGTTTTTTGAACTTTCAACAGTTCTGGTTTTATGCGTCATGAAACGAAGCTATTCTTGCAGGTTAATAAAAGATTTTGACCGTGAAATCAAGGATGAGGAGAGTAAAAATCCACCGGAAGTCAATAAGCAACTCAATGATGAGAAACAATCAATGGTTAGTTCATTGTCGTTTTATCTTTCAAACTTATCACAGGAATGCATGTAGTGAAGGAAATACTTGTTTGAAGTTTGATGGTTAGCAGCTTAAGTGAACCAATTTGCAGCAGTTTCGTTCAAGGTTGGGATTGATTTCTAAAATTACTGCATATTGCAGAGTGTAGCATAATGTATTTAGTATCAACAGGTTTAGGGTTCAGGATTTAGTATCATATGATACACTTTCCAATACATTTTCAGGGCTCATTTGACTCAGAATTCATAGGGGAATGAGATGCTTCAGGATATTGGATGTGTGTAATTGACTTTGCATGAGAGCTGTCTATAAGAATCTTTATTAGTTTGGATTAATTCCTTAACAAAACTGATGGGCTATTGGGCCTATTATTTACATTAAAGGAAGATCAAAGAGTGCCAAAGCGGTAGACAAGACTACCTAGCCAATTTGAAAGGGCTAGTTCACTACTACACAGGAGTACTGACCCAAAGTTTGAATGCCCTTTCTCATGACCCTCTGACAACATATTCCTCTCTTGCTTAACTAACTAACAAAACAAACAAGGTTAACTTCCTTTTTTGCCCTTTCTGGTATAAATATTTACAATTGGAGGTCTAACATTGSTCATGGTTAAGCAATAGCTTGCCCTCAAGGTGGTGAAAGCGTATATGTAAAAATCTGTCTTGCCTCCCTTACTCATGTTAGAACAATACTTGATTCTGAGGATTTTATATAGTCTCATGTTGCTTGGCTGATGAAAGCGTATATGTCAAAATCTGTCTTCCCTCTCTCAAGTATTAGGAATTTGTAACCAACTTTCCTTTAGAAATTGATAATTTTGTCTATGCCCTTTGAGTTACATATATCACATATTGATATTGCAAGATGGAATTTTGGCCTCCTTTATTATTTCTCATTGGACACTTGTGTCTACAGTGGTTTTAAATTTTAATTGATTATGTGCTTATTACAATATTTTAATTTGCAGATCAAAGAGCTGAATTCATTTGTTGCATTAAGGAAAACGTAAGTCTTCAGTCCTCCCATACATTTTCTCAGAATAGGGTACAAGTTAAGTATATTATTAAAAGTTCTTCGCAAAAAGGGAAAAAAAAAGAGTAATTCTTGCCTGAGATTGAAAGTTGTAGCTAAGAAACAAATTTTCCCTCAAGGGGAAATATTATATGTTTCGATTTCTAGGATGTGGGTGGGAAATATATATGCCCTGCCTTAACCTTGACCCTTCCCAATTTTGTACATATTGGATAATTAGTGGAAGCTTGGTTTTCCAATGAAAATGGCAAAACCTTTTAATCCATATATTAGTGAAATCTTCAATATATTTATGTAAAACTATTTTATTTTTAACAAATCCAAAAATAGGTAATTAATTCTTTGAGCTTCTAATATTTATGTTTTTCTCTTAAGTTTATTGAAATTTATATATAAAATAAATGGGCAACGTGGCCTGGCAAAAACACTAATTATTGTTTGTGGTCTTCATAAGATTGCCTCTATTTCTCTACTGAATGGGAAATGGCAAGAATGGGGCAAAAAGAAAAAAAAAGAAAGAGCAAGACAAAGATGGGGAATGCGTTATTGATCTTACCTTGTTTTATTGGCATCCATAGTTGTAAGAGTGTGTACGCATTAGTTGCATGCAAGGTGGTTGCAAGGATTTTGGCTGATGTTTGAAGAGAGTACTCCCCTCCTCAGATCCTGCAATCAAATTGAATTTCTACTAAAACGATAAACCATAATCATTGATTTTATTTTGATAGCAGAAGAAGCTGCCAATGACAAAAGAAAAGCAAGGAATAGGGGTAGGTGTCCATCATGTAGATGTTAAAAAGCTTATTATATATATGGTAGGCTGGAAATTCGTAGCCCATGTTTGAAAGGGAACTAAAGTTTTTGGGATGTAAATCGGACGTATTTTGGGATGTAAATCAGGAACCAAGTTTTTCATTTAGGGAACTAAAGGAACGTTAGAAGTTTTAAGAAAATTGGATGAATTCAGGTGGTTTACCAAGCAGATTGAGGGAGGAAATATTAAAAGTTTGGTGTAACAAAAAGGAAGGGGTTGAATAAGTTGTTTGGACTTCTCAGGGTTTAGGGAGAAAGAATAAACCTTTGGCCTTCCATTTAATGGCACTAGTTGATCATAATTCACAGCATGTGCAAAATCCAAAACGTCCTCCTCCAAMCTGTCTTTAGAGTCTGCTTTACCTACCTCATTTAATGAGTGTGCAGCTTGGAGTTCTTTCTCTTCTAAGGAATTGGATAAAAAGGAGGTTTGGGACTCTTCACCTTCAAAGCATGTCTCTTCATCCCCAATCACCATTTTGATGCATTTTAAATCCAATATGTTAGAAAAATTACCGAGATTGAGAATGAATGCTTCTTCTTCCTCAGGGGGTTTCAAATTGCAACAATCTTTAACTCTTACCAAGGCACTCCCCAAAAGAGGGTCTTTGATTTCAATCTCAGTAGGGAGAAAGTGGTGTAGACCAAGAAGAAAAAAAACTCTGAAATTTCTTGTTACCCAAAACAGAGAGGCGGGCTGGCTTTTATAAGCTGGCAGCCCAACTAACAACTAACTAACTAATTCTTTAACAGATGGTTTTAAATGTAAATGGCTAACGGCTATAAAACGGTAACTAAGAGTTACTTCAAATTACCTCCCTCTAAGAAAAAACTCGTCCTCGAGTTTGGCTAGCTAGGGCAAACGCATCCTCAGCTTTATAGTCATAGATATCTGCTACATTGAAGATGGGAGTTATGCGAAGGTCTTCTGGTAGATTCACTTTGCATGCATTATCACCATACTTGTGAAGTATCTCAAATGGACCGATCTTCTTGTTGCTTGAGTTTGTTGTAGGTTCCTTTAGGAAAGCGGGATTTCTTTAAGTACACCATGACTAGGTCCCCCACTTCAAATGTCTTCTGTTGTCTATGTGTGTCTGCTGCARTTTTGTAGGATGCCGCCGCTTTGGTGAGGTGTTTTGTCACTTCTTTATGCAAGTCCACAATTCGTTCGACCATTAGTTCCGCCTCCTGATTAAGATCAATAGAAGATGGTAAGTTAGCGAGATCCACAGTTAGTCTAGGAAGTTTTGTATAAACGATCTCAAATGGGGACTTCCCTGTGGATCGATTGTGCATATGATTGTAGGCAAATTCAGCTTGTGCCAATGTGAGATCTCATTGCTTTGGTTTAGATCCCCCTAAGCAGCGTATAAGGTTTCCCAAAGTTCTATTTGTAACCTCCGTTTGRCCATCCGTTTTAGGATGGCTAGTTGTGCTAAATCTCAAATCGGTATTAAATTTTTTCCACAACGTTTTCCAAAAGTGGCTCAAGAATTTTACATCCCGATCTGAAACAATTGTTTTTGGTATGCCGTGTAGTCTTACTATTTCCCGAAAGAAAAGATTAGCAATATAAAGAGCATGCGATGTCTTTTTAAAAGGTAGGAAATGAGACATCTTACTAAAGCGATCCACAACGACTAATATTGAGTCATAGCCTCGTTGTGTTTTGGGCAATCCGAGGATAAAATCCATGGAGAGATCTTCCCATATGGATTGAGGGATTGGGAGAGGAGTGTAGAGCCCGGTATTCTGAGATTGCCCCTTAGCCGTCTGGCATATAAGGCAGCGGCTCACAAAATTGTTAATGTCTTTCCTTAACTGCTTGTGAGGCCGCTAAGGCATAGGTTTTGTCACGGCCCAAGTGGCCGGCCAAGCCTCCACTGTGTAAATCTTTTATTAAGGTTTCCCTCAATGATGTGTGTGGTATACACAATCGATCACCCTTAAAAAGATAGYCATCGAGAATATGAAAATCATTGGTGTTAACATGGTCGGTGCACTTGGTCTAGATATCCCGAAGTCACAATCAGTTTCGTATGTAGAAGGTAGCTGCTCAAATGCAATAACTTGTCCTGATAGAATGGTCAATAGGATAGTTTTTCTACTAAGGGTGTTGGCCACTTTATTAGTTGTACCAGCCTTATGTTTTATAACAAAATCAAATTTCTACATAAATGCAATCCAACGGGCATACATCCGATTAATGGTTTTTTGAGTTTGGATATATTTAAGTGAAAAGTGATCGGTAAAAAGTATAAAGTCTTTCCCAATAAGATAGTGTTCCCATTGTTTTAAGGCTCTAATTAATGCATATAGTTCTTGTTCATAGGTGCACCATTTTTGTCTAGGAGGGGTGAGTTTTTCACTAAAGTACTCAATAGGTTGTCCGTTTTGGGCTAACACAGCACCAATACCTATGCCGGATGCATCAACGGCCACTTCAAAAGGGTGAGAAAAATCTGGTAAAGCCAAAACTGGTGTAGAGCTTAATTTGTCTTTTAGGGTGTTGAAACTAGTAGTCTGTTCTATATCCCAAAAAAATTTTCCCTTTTTTAAACAATCAGTGAGAGGTGCAGCAATTGTGCTAAAGTGTTTGATAAACTTGTGGTAGAAGGAGACTAATCCAAAAAAACATTAAATATCTCTAACCGAAGTTGGTATTGGCCACTATTGGATGGCTAGAACTTTAGAGGGATCAACAGAAATTCCAAATTGTGTGATATAAAAGCCAAGGAATGCTATCTCAGTGGTCATGAACGAACATTTAGCTAAATTAATWTGCAGTTGGTGTTCATGTAATGTGGAAAAAAGTGTCCTAAGATGTTCTAAATGTTGTAATGTGGAAAAAAGTGTCCTAAAATGTTCTAAATGTTCTACTTCAGTTTTACTATAAACCAAGATGTCGTCAAAGTAAACTACAATGAAATTGTTAAGATAGGGATGTAGTACCTGATTCATCAAGCGCATAAACGTACTTGGGGCGTTGGACAACCCAAATGGCATAACAAGCCATTCAAAGAGACCTCCATTAGTTTTGAAGGCTGTTTTCCACTCATCATCGGGTCGTATGCGTATTTGGTGGTATCCACTTTTGAGATCTACCTTAGAGAATAGATGAGCACCGCTAAGTTGGTCTAATAGATCAGACAAACGAGGTATAGGGAAGCAGTATTTTATTGTAATTTTATTGATAGCACGACTGTCCACGCACATTGGCCAAGAATCGTCTTTTTTAAGAGCAAGCAAGACGGGGACAACGCAAGGACTAAGACTAGGTCTGATATGACCCTTGAGTAAAAGTTCATCCACTTGATCAAGTAAAATTTGATACTCCTTGGGGCTCATTCTATAATGTGGCAAATGTGGTAAAGAAGAGCTAGGATGAAAATCTATGCAATGTTGAATGTCCCGTAAGGGTGGTAATCCCGTAGGGTCTTTAGTTAGATCAGCAAAGTCTTTTAGGAGTTGTTGAATGATGGGGTGGTGAGGAGTAGGTTGAGGTAAGGAAGCGTCCCCTTTAACTACCAAGGCCCATACCATAGGATCCCTTTTCTCTAAAAAGGTTTTCCCATTGATTATGGAAAATAGCTGTTTAGGAGCAGGAGATGTATCTTTCTTGGACTTAACATCCATATTGGAAGGGAGGAGAACAATTTTCTTGCCCATCCAAGTAAATTCGTAAATATTGTCACRACCTCTATGTAATGCTTGGAGGTCATATTGCCAAGGGCGTCCCAACAAAATGTGGAAAGCATCCATATTCAATACATCACATATAACTTGATCCTTATATTGATTACCAATGGATAAAGGTATCGTGCAAACAGAATTTATTTGCGCCTCACCCCCTTTTCGGATCCAAGAGACCTTATAGGGGTTAGGGTGAGGATCAACCTTGAGATTTAAAGCTGTCACCAACCTTTGTGAAACCATATTCTCACAACTGCCACTGTCTATGATCACGTTGCAAATTTTCCCGTTTACAGTGCAACGAGTTCGAAAAAGGTAACGTCGTTGATTAACATTTTCTACCTTTGGAGCAAGGAGAACTCTTTGAAGGACACAGTTAATAGGTTCACCATCATCAGGTTCAACATAGCAGTATCATCCTCATCAAGAAGTTCGGGTTCTTGATCATCTTGATCGTCCTCATCAACTAATGCCAAGGCTCGTCGTCGAGGGCATTCGTTGGACAGATGGCCCACCTTCCCACATCTAAAGCATTTCCCAAGAGTAGGTCTAATATATTGATTATTACCTCGTTTAGTTGTAGAATCCGTAGGTTTGGGAGGAGGCACAACTTTAGGAGCATCATTGATCTTTAAAGCAGTAGAGGTTGAAGGACCACCCGAAGTTAAAGATTTGTTAGTATCCATACCTGATGTCTTAGTAAGATGTTGTTTATCCCAAGTAGCTCGTCGAAAAGGAGGCTTCAACTGTTTCCTTTCTAGCTTTGCTTCAACTTTGGTAGCCACAGAAATAGCCTCAGTGAGTAATCCATCAAGAAAGCATGCAATTTTATAGTCTTTTTTTTTCAGCCAAGTTGGTGTGAGCGCCCAAGCGGTGAAACTCCTCAGTATAGTCAGCGACGGTTTTACTGCCTTGACGACATTGCTGGTACTGCTGATATAACATCTGCTCGAAATTGGCYAGTAGAAAACGCCCGCGCATAAGGCGTAGCATGCGGGGCCAGCTTCGAATGGGGCGCTTGCCAAGGTGCCGGCGGTTGATGTCAAGTTGCTCTGACCAAGTCGAGGCACCCGATTGTAAACGGAAAACCACCAACTTAACCTTCTTATCCTCTGGTGTTCCCGTGTAATCAAAAAAATTCTCAACATTCTTGACCCAGTCCAAGAATGCTTCTACGTTCATTTTATCATTGAACGTAGGGAAATCAATCTTCATACGGAAATCAGTTCGGACCCCTCCCCTTTTCTGACGTTCTCCATGATCGACACGGGGATTCTCACGAAAAAAGTCATCCTCCCCTTCCGAAGAATCTGAATCTTGGACTCTCAATTGCAAATCTTGACCCCCTACGACCGTACCCATCCATGTTTCTTGCACGATTAGGAGTTGGTGATCTGTTTCTTGGTCTTTCTTGGAGTTGTCCTCCYCGATTTGCGTTGCCCTGATTCCTTAAGTCCATTAGCAGGCGTTCTTACTCCACGGTGATGATCAACTCTAGCTGTCGTCCAACATTCTCTAGTAGTTCATGGATACTAGGCACGTTCGTCCTTACTTCTCCCAGTGAATCTTCCACAAGCATCAAGCGACTAGTGGGTTTTTTGGGAGATAAAATTTGTTTTGCCGAAGGGTCTCCTGCAAGTCCCTTCCCAGAAGCCTCTGTGTTCTTCCCCATTATCAGGTCTCCAAACTCGTTTAGAGTGCTCYGATACCAAATTTGGTGTAGACCAAGAAGAAAGAAACTCTGAAATTTCTTATTACCCAAAACAGAGAGGCGGGCTGGCTTTTATAAGCTGGCAGCCCAACTAACAACTAACTAACTAATTCTTTAACAGATGGTTTTAAATGTAAATGGCTAACGGCTATAAAACGGTAACTAAGAGTTACATCGGACAGGCATATAAATTCTTCTTCACCTCTACTCTGTACAAATTGATTCACAATTTAACATGTTCAAAGTCTGACAGGAACAATCAACCAATCCACGAAATGACTTCAGAGAGCTTCGAAGCAGCTGCGATCSCAATAACTTAAAGGTAGATTCAAAATGTCAATCCATCCGCCATAACCTATCACATTCTCGAGTTTGCTATGCTTAATGTCAGACCAGTTCTCTAATTTTACGTGGAAGGGACCAATTTTCTTCCATTTTCCTTGGACTCCCAGACCTTTTATGGACCTTTCCRTCCTCCATTTTTAACCGAGCATTATCGGTCGGATTAACTCAACATTCAATCTCGAAATGTTGCTTCAAAGCAGTAGCAATCTCCTTCCAATTATCAAGAATTTCAGTCCATTTCAACCACATCTCTTTCTTTTTTTAACCCAAAAGCCCCGATGAGCTTTTTTTCTAAATGAAAAAGAGTCATCTTCTTCTCCTTCTGACTTAAGAGATTGTCGTGAAATATCCTTGGCTGTAGAACGCGGGGCATCAGACCTTTGCCGGACATCAGCCAACATCAGTCATTTTCAGTGGATGAGAGATAGAATCCTTTATCATTTCACAAAAGACTAACCACCCTCCTTTTTTCTGACCAAGGGACCACAATTCTTCCTTTCATGCCGGATTTAGGGATCAGAATACATTCGAAACAGCAACCTTGCTTGTTTAAACTTTTCATAAGTCTACAAATACCAAACTCACCCTTTGCTTGTCTGAAAAATTAACTCTCAACAGATGATGCATCAAATCCACGATAACCTCTTTGAACCAAGATAATTGCTTCTTGTTGAGTGAAATATGAAATTGCCGGTTATTGAACATTTCTTCGAACTTGAAAAAACCTTTCGGCAAAGAATGAATATTTTAATGCATGTATTTAATTTATTTGGAGCTATTAGAGCGGGAACCACTTTTTGCTCTCATTTCAAACATTTTTTATTATTGGAATTCCTTGATTGGAGTTTGCCAAAAGATTTTGGAGCGACGAAGTGACAGGAGAGGATTTGTTTGCAACGCGACAACTCCTTGAAACCATGATTCAAAATCTCGTGAAATGTGATGAACATTGCATCTTTGAATATTTTATGTCTCTTTTCATTTATTAATGAAAAGTTCATTTCTTGTTAAAAAAACAAATAAGCACCCAAATCCTAGTTGCTTGTTCTACTAGGCTTTGTAATTATTCCCCCTTGTAATTTACTTGTTGGAGATGGGTGTGGGGGAATCTTAATTTTGTCAAATCTTTTCACTACATTAACGACAAGTGTTTCCTATTAAAAAAGGACAAAGGTGTAAAAAATAAATCAGTTAGATTTCAATCTTGTCTAACGTTGTCCAGCTGCTGGAATCATTAGTTCTCTTTTTTCAACGATTGARTGTGGTTCACATAATTAAGCATATTCAATGGTTTTCTCTTATCATTATTTTGGAACCGAATTGCTTGAGGCTTGGGTTTTAATGTTTTATTGCTGAATGAATTACAGGTACATGAATAGTCTTGGTAATAAGAGGGTTGAGCTATTTGATGAGGGAGGTGTAAGTGAGCCTACAGCTGATGATAATATTCAGATGGCCTCATGTAAGACTATATTTTTCATATTCATAGGCATTCATATAAAAAAATTCCCATGTCGCCTATAGGAGGGACTACCAGTATTTGCTCCAGAGGGAAGTACATCTAGGACTTTCCTGTTAAAGATAAAATTGTAAAATTAAGCTTATAATGTAAGAATGTGTGTGGAGCAAGGTTCTAATGAAWTTTTTTTCTTTAAAATAAAATGTTTTAAGCAAGGTTGTTAGATCTTGAATCCACTTTTTCTTCTTATTTTTATTAAAAGAGTATAGTATCTTTTATAGTATCTTTTATACGTATAATGGAGTAGTTACTACTGCTCTTAAAGTTACGTTGGGCTACCTCATGCGGCAATGGATGAGGTGTGAATCCCCCAGCAGCAAACCAAGGCAATTTGCTTGGATCACCCTTTGGTTGCTTTTTGCACTTTAATGAAGATAGACACTCTTCAAGGTCTATCAATATTGAAAAAGCCAATTGAAAGGTTTTTTATGGGTGTCTGGAGTTTGGAGAGGTTTGCGTTGTGGTGGGATGCAGGTTTGAATGCATCCCTTAGGGTCTCTGTTATCTGACTTCAGTGATTATTTTTGTCTTCCATTCTTTTGAAATATTTGTAGTTAGCTTTTTTTTTTTGGCTGCTTTTGTCATAGGCTTTCCTCTTTTTGTATTGTACTTAGTGTATTCTTTCATTTTTCTTAAAGATAGCTAGTTTTTTTTATTAAAAAAAATATATGTTCCACTGGAGTATTTTTTTTCTCTTTCATTTTTTCTTAAAACCAAAGAGATTTTTTTTTTTTTTTGGGGGTAAGAAACAAGTATTTCAAACAATTAATCAAATTGAAACAATTCCACGTCTAATCAACCTTTTTTTCCTTTGACCAACATGCCCTTTTCTCCATTAACCTATTACCACCAGAAAAGAATATCAATGCCCATATTTTATGTAATGGTATAATGCATCTTATCCTCAATTAGCAATATGTAACTATATCTTTTTTCTTCTAAAGATTTGTGCATTACTCCGCCTACCTTTTCTCCCCCTGTCGTCTCCAAGCAAGAAATAAATGCTTCTTGGTTCTCTAAAGTACTGTTTTCTTTACTTTTACATTCTCTTTTTAGCTTAATGTTGTTATACAAGCATGTTTTCCCCTACCATCYTTTTCCATCATATATGTTCCCTTCTCCATCATACATGTTCCCTTTTCGCTTCTTTCTTGCCTTAATTTGCATGTCCTTGTTGATTCTTAATCTTCACCTTTTGAGTACATTTCTGCATCAGATAATACAGCAAGTTTTCTAATGTTTTGAGAACTTCTTGTCACTGAATTGTGAAACGGGGTAGTGACAAAAAGTTGTCTTCATACCCCCTTTCTAATTTATTTATTTAGTTGTCTTGTCACTGAATGAGGTAGTAAAGTAAGCAATTAAAGTTAAAAAGTGTCGAGTATCTTCTATTTGATATGCTTGGAATTCCAGGATTATGTATTTTTCTCATTCTATTGGCATGCCTTTGTGCTGTAGCAATGACAAATCAAGAACTTATTGATGCTGGGAAGAAGACAATGGATGAGACCGATCAGGCTATTGAACGCACTCAAAAGGTGAAGAATTACTCGAAACATGTGAGCTTTCTCGTTTCTAGCCCCTCTGTTCTGATGCTTAACTTCGATCTATAGGTGGTTGAACAAACTATTGAAGTGGGAACTCAAACTGCTGTTACATTAAAAGGCCAAGTATGTTCCACGTTGAAATTACACCATTCGTTGAAAGCTTATTTCCTATCTAGCCTGATTACTAGATTTTTCACGGTATTCTTTTAACTTATCCCAATTAAAAATTTTCAGACTGAGCAAATGGGCCGTATAGTAAATGAGCTCGACACAATTAATTTTTCAATTAAGAAGGCTTCCCAGCTTGTGAAAGAAATTGGCAGACAGGTACGCGGAACTTATGCCTTCCACACACGATCCAAAATAAAAAATAAAAAATAAAAAATCAGCTTTCTTACTGGGACTAACCTCGCTCCCCCCTTTGAAAGGTTGCTACAGATAAATGCATCATGCTGTTTCTTTTCCTTATTGTCTGTGGAGTGATAGCAATTATTGTAGTTAAGGTAAATTCTGCAGTTCAGTTTTTTTACCACTCATCTTGAAGAACATTTCCGGATGTTGGTCATACTTTGACAAAAGAGGCCATGTACTGGAAGTTTATTCAAATTCGGTGTCTTTAGTATTGCAAAAGATGCACCACAAAGTGATTCTGATAACAAGTTTAATATACAAATTTTCAGATTGTGAACCCCAACAACAAAGATATCAGGGATATTCCTGGCTTGGCACCTCCAGCTCCCGCTAGGAGGCTTTTGTATCTGAGGACAACACCAGAACATTTTGAGTAAATTCTTCTTTTAGGAGTTGTAGGTTTTCTATGTTTGCTTATCTATTTCGATTAAATTCTTGTTTACGCATGGAAACATGCCGTTGTGAGAATTCATCTGCTTTCCTCGCGTGCATTCAATCTATTCTTGGCTGAGATGTGCATATAGCCTGTTTGTGATTTTGCTCTTTATTTCAAGAGATACTGCAGTGTGATCCTGTAAATGATTTACTTTGAGGTGATTCATTTCTTGCGAAATTTACCCCCACTTAACACTTGTACACTTGACAAATGTGCCTTATAGCATATAATTACACTCCTACTGCCCACTGGTTGATATTTACTTTATTCTTTTACCTCCTGTTTTTTTTTTTTTTTTTTTTATTAAAGCATAGACAGCTCTCGATCTTAAATGTGGAGTGATATTTATTTTATTTTTTACCTAAATATTCGAATAATACTTTGTTTACTGCCGAATTGTGAGAGGGAAGGGAAGCAATTGTCAACCGAACCTTTATTAACGGCCAAGTTGTCCACGGATCAATTACATGTCAGGATTACATGCAGACGAAGAGATTGTGGTGGAGGAAGAGCCATTGGAGCTTGCTGGAATCCTCCATCAAGATTTTTAATTTACTTTTTCTTTAGATGGTTTTCTTTATGTATTTTCACTTCCAGTCAATATATATATAAAGAAAAAAGGATCAACTATCAACAGTTGCTACAAAAAGTGGGTTGGGTTTGGTAAAATTTTAGGCTGGGCTTGTAGAATTTTTAGATGAACTATTGGGCTATGGCAGAAGCAGTCCGATCACGCAAAAAAATCAGGAATTCTCTTCAGACGGTTGTTTCAACAATCTACATTAATTATATTATGTTTGACACCGAGTAAAATCTCCTTGTGTTTCAGGATTACATAGTAACAACAAAGTGTGTGATAAGTTATTAGCAGCAGTACTTCAGGACCCCATRGTAACAACATAAGTTATTAGCAGGAGTAGAAATTACGGCAGTTAATAAGTTGCATCCTTTCAAATAGGAACTTTGACATTTAAATTAATATTTTTTCTATATTTTAACTATCTTCTCCCAATTATTTTTTTGGACCTTTTTTTTAGTGCCTCTTTTTTTTTCCAATATTAATATAATCTTCAGAATTTTATATAAATATTAATTTTTTATTGATATATACTAAATTATTACTTAAAAAAATTGGAGTGGTATAATATATACTTTTAGTTTAATAATATATACTTTTTGTTATCTAACCTATGGAATGATAGTAATATACCAATCTAATATGTTATATAATATATACCTTTTAATGGTATATACTAAAATATTAAGTTATATAATATACATAAGTATATATTGCATTTACTCAAAATACGATCCCTATTAAATTCATTATCTTAACATATATCTAATATATACTCCCTAAGGTACTCAATATGTACTTCATAAGATTTGAGGTCATGAAATTCCTTGATTTTTTTTTACAAAAGAAAAAATGAAGAAACTCTAGAGTTTTCCATTTCCTCTTCCTCTTTCTCCTCCCCTGGTTTTTTATTTATTTTTTTTATATTCGTGTGTCCGGACCAGCTTACACGCACCTCGACTATTCACGGACCAACCGTCCGACCCTACTACGTTTGTTCTCCTCCCCGTGGTTTTCAGTCGTCGTGATGACCTCCCACTCTGACAATTAGCAAATGGGGGCGCACTAGCAGATCACGAACCCACCTCCACATCTCATTGTTAGCCGTCATGGGACGTGCATGTGGGTTTGTTCAARTCATCGAATGAGGGATCAAGGAAGGGGGCAACTGGTCTTAGATAAAGAGAGAGATTAGGGTTTGATGAAGTGAGGGAGAGAGAGAGGTGTATGTGAGTTTTGAGAGAGACAGAGATTAAAAATCATATATGGGAAGTGGCCTAAAATTTTGTTTTCCTATTTGTAATTTGTTTATTTATTTATTAAAAATATATGAACATTGGTAGATGAGCCACACCATAAATCTGTAAATTATTAAGATTTAAATCATTTATCTATAATATTTAAAAAGTGACAACCATGAAAAAAAATATATTTTTGGACTATTTTGTCCATTCTTTAATTTCTAAATAACATGCTATGTGCCCTTAATCATTAATCGCCCTAATAGAGTAATAACCAATCAATTAATTAAATCTTTAACTTATATCTCTTTAGCCCGTTAACAATTTATTAAACCATTAATAATTAATATGATAAATTTAAAATATTATTTTCTTATAAAATAATATTATTTTGAATATTATTCTATGATAAAATAATTATTCTGAAATTTTATTTTACATAATTAGCAAAAAAAAATTATATATAACAAAATTAACAAAATATATTATTAAGAATAAAAATAGGATAATATTTATATTTTAAAATTGAGATATTAAAAATTAGTTTAAAAATTTCTAAGATTTAGGCGGTTGTAGTTTAGTTCCTCCAAGGTTTTTTATTTTTATTTTTTTATGGAATTTGGTAATTGCTTCTAGTTCTAAGGGAGGTTTCCTTAAGTGTCCGTGGTTCTGAAGTTCTTTTTGGTTCTCCAAGCTTTGTAACAGAATTCTTTTTATCTTCTCACAGTTTGTAGGGCTTTTGTTTAGCTAATTCTATGTATTTTACTCTTCTTCTTTTTCTCTCTCTTCTTTTTTCACCTCTTTGGAGGTTTGTATCTTGAACATTTTTCCTTTTCATGTAACAAAAAAAAAAGTTCTTTTCTGTTTTAAAAAAAATGTATTGGTATCAATATTAGAGTTGCCATTAGTATATGGACACAGATGCATCACCCTTACATAAAATAATTGTCATGACATCAGATTTGCATCCTGTGTTTATTGTTTGTTTGGTAACTTAAGGTTGACTCTGAATTTGAAATGGGTTGTTAGAACATGTATTTTGAGTTAGATTTATTTCACATGTATATCTTTTAAACTGTGGTTTAAAGTTTATCTAATTCAAAGTATACTATGTTTCAAAATATATATATTTATATTCAAAGTATAATATACCATGTTCACTTAGCATGAATGAACATGGATGAATAAGAACCAAAATTTTCATTTCATGTTGTTTATTATAATTAATAAAATTAACTAATCTCGAGTCAACCTCAAATTTAAGAATCCTTTAAAAACTTCATCCCCTTTCCTTCACATTTCCAAATCTATTGAACTCTTACTTTAATATATTTGTTGAGAAAAAATTGGCTATTGTGAAATGTTGTTAGGTCAAGCAAAGCAGAAATGCCGAACCAAAACCCAACTGTCTTTTGTTCTCTTTAATTTTAGTTTCCGTAAATGAACGTTAAAAATACCAAAGTTTAAAACCTTGATGTAATAAAATAAAACCTGTTTAAAACCTTGATGTAATAAAATAAAACCTTGATATGTTTGTTAATCCTATTGGTATTAAAATGTTTTGGGTAAAATCCAAATCCCCATAATCCCAAGGTTGTTGCCAGGCTACCGACATAACATAACACGCCTGAGGCCTCAATAATGGATACAAAAAATAAATAATAAAAAAAAAACAGAACAAAATCCCTATTCCCTAATTCCAGTTCCGGCAACTGCCGACTGAAGTATGGCGGTGTATTTATTGTATTAAATTAAATATGTTCTATAATACAGGGTCTAATGAAATGATTAAGCTGGTAGCAGAGAGCAGGCAAAAAAAAAAKATCTCTCTTTTAACAGAAGGCGGCTGGCAAAGGCCAAACTACAAAGTCCAAAGGGTATTTTATATTTTTGTTTCTGTTCAAAATAAAGCCTTTTTATGGTTATGTGGTCTGCGCATCTGCTGTCCCTTTGGCTTTTATTTGTCCAACCTTCCATAACCCTGATCTAAATAGAATGGGAGTGGGTAAGTAAATAGGCAATTTCACGCTGCTGCCCCGTTCTTTTCAGCCTCCAACGCCTTCCCTTTCACTATTTATCTTGTTTTCTTCATCTTTCAAACTCCTCATAAATACAAACCCTTTGGCCTTTTCTTCTTCGCTTCCTAAATTCCACTTTTACCTTTATTTTATGACACAAATTAGTCTTTGTGATTAAATTATAAACCTACGTGGTGCTATCTTGAATGTCTGTAGAAATTTAACACTCAGAATCAAAACAAATTTAGAGGATAAAGAAAATAACTTAAAACAGCACTTTAGACCAAACCGATTCTAATTTGTTCTGCTGCCCTGCCATTGTCTGCCATCTTCCGAACCGAGCGATTTTCTCTAAAATAATAATAATATGATACAGAAGAGAAACAAGTTTGAAGAAACAGCAAAGAAAGGAAGGTGGGGTGATATTGTTCTTGATTTGATGCCTCTCTCTGAAAGTGTAATGTAAGAAGCAAGGCAAAGGCATACCCATTTCCCTCTCTCCTCCTCCTTCCTCATTACCTACTACTGAAAACTCCATCCCATCCCACCACCATTCATTTCTTCTTCTCCCTTTCTCCTAACCCGTTCAACTGCATTTCTCCACGGAACTAGAAGCTAAGTTTGAGCTTACTCAATTTTTACAACTTAGCACGGAATTCCCATTCCCGACGACATTTCTCTGCCATCTACATGCGGAGTTTTTGGTTTGGCTACAGTACATGTTGGTTAATCTGAGGAGAGGACCTCTGCATACACTAAATACCAATTTATCGACCCATCTGGGAACTGAATCTGCTGCATTGACCAGAAGCGAATTCTACTGCTTATTCAGAAACGCTTCTTTGTATACTAGAGAAAAAGAAATGGCGCCTGATCTAAACACAACGCTTTCCAGGAGGACGTTTGTTTTTGGTATGAAGGTATGGGTATTTACTGGAATCCTGGTGGGGGTGTTTATTGTAATAGTCCTTGTGTTGCTATCAATATGTGTTACTTCACGAAGGAAGTCCAGAAGGGTTAGTGGCATGCTTCCTCTCAGCCGTATTCCCACTGCATCAAAGGAAATTAAGGAGATTGGAGTGGATCATGTTTCAGCGATCAAACATGATGGGTTCGACAAATTTGGCGACACAGAGTCGGAAAAGGTTCTTCTGTATTCAAACAAGGCGTATAACTGCAGCATATCAGGCTCAGTTGATCACACAGAGGTAGATGCAAGCAAGGAAGCAAGTGGCCTGCATAGACCTTCGGATCCATTATCACCGGACCCTGCGCCACTGTCTGGTCTGCCGGAATTCTCTCAACTAGGATGGGGTCACTGGTTCACCTTAAGAGACCTGGAAGTTGCAACTATGCATTTTGCAAACGACAATATAATTGGGGAGGGAGGATATGGGGTTGTTTATCGAGGACTTATCAATGGGACACCTGTGGCTGTCAAAAAGCTCTTAAGTCTGTAAGTTTGCTCTGTTGCCTAAATTGTGTTTTCTGMGTGCTATTGGTTGGTTGTAAATGTAATTCAGGTTATAATTTGTGTAGAGGACAAGCGGAAAGGGAATTCAGAGTGGAAGTGGAAGCATTTGGGCATGTGCGGCATAAGAACTTAGTTCGCCTGCTGGGTTACTGCATTGAAGGAACTCACAGGTATTGCTATTGTTATTGCTATTGCTACTGCTCCTTTACTAGCTTTGTTTGTTGTATACTAAATAGTTGATATTTTCAGGATACTAGTATATGAGTATGTGGACAATGGGAATCTAGAGCAGTGGCTTCATGGAGCTCTACGTCAGCATGGATATCTCACTTGGGAGGCACGAATCAAAATTCTCCTTGGAACAGCTAAGGCGTGAGTATCTATATGGATACATCCTTCATTTGATCATTTGACAGCTCTTTGCTCAGATTCACTTGAGATTCCAATCTTTATTGGTATTTCAGGCTGGCGTATTTGCACGAGGCAATTGAACCAAAAATTGTGCATCGAGATATCAAGGCAAGCAACATATTGATTGATGATGAGTTTAATGCAAAGCTATCAGACTTTGGGCTAGCCAAATTACTTGGTGCTGGGAAAAGTCATATTACCACCAGGGTAATGGGTACGTTTGGGTAAGTAAAACAAACTTTCCCTCTTCATTTTCTTCTGCTTCCATCTCTCGTTTGTGGAATAAAATATTCTTCTGTTTTCTTTCTCACCATAGATATGTGGCGCCAGAATATGCCAAATCTGGGCTTCTAAATGAGAAGAGCGACGTTTATAGCTTTGGAGTGGTCCTTTTGGAAGCAATTACTGGGAGAGAACCTGTTGATTATGGCCGCCCGACACATGAGGTACTTACTGGCAGTGCAGATAGTTTAGCTTACATGTTTGGAGTAATGTGGGTTGTTTTTGCTCACAAACTTTGGAATTTGGAATCCGGTTGCAGGTAAATTTGGTGGATTGGCTAAAGCTGATGGTAGGAAGCAAGCAGTCAGAAGAGGTGGTTGACCCAAATATAGAGAGAAGGCCATCAGTTAGTGAACTGAAGCGAGTTCTTTTGACTGCTTTGAGGTGTGTGGATCCAGATGCTGATAAGAGGCCTAAGATGAGCCAAGTTGCTCGCATGCTCGAGTCCGAGGAATATCCAATTCCTCGACAGGTTGCTTACATTTTCAAAGCATTAATTCTTTAGCAGCCATTAATTAACCTCAACTCATTCACATTTCATCATGACTTTCAGGATAGGAAACCCAGAAAGGATCATGCTATTGCAACTAAAAAGGAGGCTGAGAAACAGGAGAGAGGACCCAGACGGCACAGATAAGATAGAGAGCATGAGGCGTTTTCAAGTGTGGAAATAATGAATAGATGCATAAAATAGAAGCTTGCTATGCTAGTTTAAGCTTCCAAATTCTCTGTTGGGGTTGGCCCCTCCAGTAGAGCTAGCAGGGAAGAGAGAAGACTCGGTGGTGTTCTCAATCATTGTCTAATGTACAGTGCCATACTTGCATTGTTGGCTATGGAAACAGGTCCAAAGTTTTTGTAATTTTTTTCTGTTGAGGTGACATTATCTTCACTTTACCATTTGGGTACTGAATGATTGATGTTCATAAGGATCAATACTTGAAGATTATTCAAAAGTAGTACATTCTTAGTTAAATCACATTTCTAGTTTTTACTTGAGCTCTCTTTCCTTATATACTTCTTTTTTTTAATGTAATGATTTGGTCTTTCAAGTGTAATGGTTATATCTCAACAATTAAGTCTGTATTCTTACAACAGAATGATTAATCATTAGAAGGTGTGAAATAATATCTTACCATTCAACTCTCTTACATTAATTTTTGTTTAAATTTTATTTTAGTGTATGAAAGTATTAAATCAAGTCTACTTATTTGAGTTTAAGATATAATTTAATGAAATTAAAATTTAACTCACTAATGTAATGTTCTGGACAAAATAACAAACAGAAAATAAATAGAGTGACGAGAATAATATTGCTTTGACTGCATTTTCTCTAACCTTTGGAAGCTGAAGAAGTTGTGAGATGGTGTGATTTGATTGAAGAGCAGAGGCATCTCTTTGTTCTTCCTCCAGTGGCGCGACCTCTCCCCCTTTCCCATCGATGCGCGTATGAAAACTATGCAATTGCGACTGCGAGCATAAACTACAGAATACAGAGCAACCAGCAGAAAATACAGTCCGAATCAAGTTTGTAAGCAAGAAACTGAGTGTTTGTAAGCAAGAAACTGAGTTACCTGCATCTGCAGTGAGGTATGAGGACAAGAAACCTTCCTGGCGCAGCTACGAAGCCTGCAAACAAGTTCATGAGAAGGAAAAAAAATGCTTCAACCTTTGGAGAAGCATCCTCACAAGGAAGTTGCTCAGCTGGGTCAGGGTGGGGCTACAATATTTCGACCCGACCCGACCCGATTTGATTTCATGTGTTATCCAAATTGACACCCATTTTGATTTGATTTTTTAAAAAAATAATTTTACAGTCCCTTTGTTGATTGCTCAAGGAACGAATTTTCTCAGAAAAAATCCTTCCCTCTGGGTCTGGGCTCTGACCCGACCCGACCCTTATTCATTCATGTGTGATCCAAATTGACACCCATTTTGATTTGATTTTTTTAAAAAAATAATTTTACAGTCCTTTGCTGATTGCTCAAGGAACGAATTTTCTCATAAAAAATCCTTCCCTCTGGGTCTGGGCTGGCGAAACGTAAAATCAATCCACTTCACTTCACTTCTCGCTGCTTTGCTGAACTGCAACTGCATATCGGTGTCCATTAAAAGCAGCCATGGCTTCGCTCTCCTTCTCTTTCTCGTCCTCGCTCCTTCCTTCGGTTTCTCTCGACAATGGCTCCACTTCTTTCTCCCCCATCCTCCGTAGGTCTTCTTCAGACTCCAATACTTATATTGTTCGCTGTGCATTCGCAGCCCCCGCTCGAAAATCTCCTCCTCCTCCTCCCAAGAGACACTGGAAGCAAGGTGAATTTCCAGGCATTACAGGAACATCGGCCCCCAACAAGACCCCTCTCAAGAATGTCAAGAAGAAATTAGACCGCAAAAACAACGCCAAGGCTTGGGCCAACACCGTAACTGAGGCCTTGTCAGACCATATCTCCAAGAAGCAGTGGCTTCAAGCTCTTCAGGTCGCCTCCCCTTTCTTTAATTTCTCTTTTCCTTCTAGGTATCTCTTTTTATACAACCATCCCTTACCTCTGCAATAATAGTTCTCTTATTTCTCTGCAACCCCTCATTTTGTTGCTTCCTGTTCATATCYGTTCGATGTTTTTATTTCTTTTCCAATACTGTGATTTGAGACAATAATTGATGATCAGTATGCACTGGAATTAGCTTTTGTTCTCAAAATGGTTCCTGCCACTCTTTCCATTTATAGACAAAGACAACACATTTGGGGATTTCTGGGAGATTCATTACATGTTCTGCAAAGTTGAAGTGAAAACATGAACATCCATGTGCCTTACTTTAAGGAATGAAGTGATATTTTGAAGAGTCTGCATAAACTTCTTGTGCTATTGTTTTCACCCCTAACAATGGTGACTGCTTCAATTCAACCGTTCAGGTGTTTGAAATGCTCCGCGAACAGCCGTTCTACGAACCAAAAGAAGGGACTTACATGAAGCTGCTTGTTCTACTTGGAAGATCTGGCCAAGCACATCGTGCCCATCAGCTTTTTGACACAATGGTTGAAGAAAGATGTGAACCTACCTCTGAACTTTACACTGCTTTGCTTGCTGCTTATTCTCGCAACAATCTCATTGATGATGCATTCTCCACTCTTAATCACATGAAGACCCTCCCTCGCTGCCAGCCTGACGTCTACACTTACAGTACCTTAATCAAGGCCTGTGTCGATGCATCTCGCTTTGAATTAGTTGAATCTTTGTATGAGGAAATGGCCGAACGATTGATAACTCCAAATACAGTGACCCAGAACATAGTTTTAAGTGGGTATGGCAAGATAGGGAAGTATGACCAGATGGAGAAAGTTCTATTAGGAATGCTTGAGAGTACAAGTTGTAGACCGGATGTGTGGACAATGAATATAATTCTTAGTGTGTTTGGTAATAAGGAACAGATCGAAATGATGGAAAGATGGTACGAGAAATTTCGCAATTTTGGCATTGAGCCAGAAACACGTACATTTAATATTTTGATAGGTGCTTATGGGAAGAAAAGGATGTATGATAAAATGTCTTCTGTAATGGAGTATATGCGCAAACTGCAGTTTCCTTGGACGACCTCGACGTACAACAATGTGATTGAAGCTTTTGCAGAGGTGGGAGATGCAAAGAACATGGAGTACACATTCGAGCAGATGTGTGCAGAGGGCATGAGAGCGGACACCAAGACATTCTGTTGCCTTATAAATGGATATGCTAATGCAGGTCTCTTCCATAAGGTGATTAGCTCAGTTAAGTTAGCAGGAAAATATGAGATTCCGGAGAATACCTCATTTTATAATGTGGTCATATCTGCGTGTGCTAAGGCAGATGATCTGATAGAAATGGACAGAGTATTTAAGCGAATGAAAGATAAACATTGTCAACCAGATTGCAAAACATATTCTATTATGATAGAAGCATATGGAAAGGAAGGTATGAATGACAAGGTTCATTACTTGGAGTTGGAAAAGAATCAGGTGATCGATGATGCTTCTAATGGAGATGTTTAAAGAACTTGAAGCTTATTGCCCCAGTCTGTTAAATTGCTATATTGTACATCTAAGAAAACCTAGTTTATCCTTCAAATCGCTGCCTCCATACCCTGAGTGTTTTGCCATAGCACTTTGACGATCCTTCAGGCAAATATTATTCTCTAATAGGAAGTTTGCGGCTAACTGAATTTGTTGTATAGAGCTTATGTATCGATAATGCTGATTAGTTTTTAGTGTCTCCCAACTCTCTCTAGTGATGACAGTTTTAGGCAATCTTGCCTTTTGTGCTGGATATATATAATTGGCGTGCAGTGAGAAAAGGTGCGAGATTCTCAAGTTCGCACATGGTTCGGGGTATTGCCTGCAGGAATACAAATTGTCATTACATTGTGGTTTTCACCCCAAAAATCTAAACAATATCACGGTTGTTCAAGACTTGTTGAGACGTTGACATTCTTCCAATTAAGTAGTTTCTGAATTCAATGTTTACATCAGATTGTATGTATCCAGTCTGCTTGATTAGAAGCTCTTGGTTCCATCATTAGTCATCTACTTATGATCAAGATCACAATCACTATTTTGCTTTCGCTTAAACGTAAAATACAAGGGATGGGACTATGTTATGTATGGTTTGCAGCATTCGATGATGAGAATTCAAGAGAATGCATTTGCCACTCCAATGACGCTGACCTCTGCCTCCACAACACAAACGTCCTTAACCAGAAAACCCATGTTCGGTTGCCGGAAATTGCTCAAGGGAATGAATCTAAGTCCTCCGACTTCTGGGTTCGACGCGTTAAACCAATACGAAACTGCCAACACCAAAACAAGAAAAAAAATATCCAAGTCATTGTCGGAAATTGTTTGTATGTGACCGACCATGTGGATCGCTGTGATTGTACTTTTTTACCTTTTCCAGAATTATGCTTTGAGTGCACCTGATCTTGCACGCGCAACGTTACCTCAGCGTAAATTTTGGTAGCAGGATGTAGCGTTGTGGGATCTGCCAGCGCCACAAATAGCGAGAGATGGCTGCCTTCGCCACTGCCTCTCCCCTTTGGATACACTCGAATTTTCCTGCAACATCACAATGACACCATGCGTGAATGTGGCTCGGATCATTCCGGCATCCAAGTTCCAAGCTGATTATCGGAATGTATGGAAGGAAGATAGGTACCATTTTTTTTCCCCCGCATTGAATATTGCGGACTCGTGGCTCTCGGCACCTAACTTGGAGAAGTTATCAATTTTCCAAATATGCTTGTAAATGATGGGATTCTTTATCATTGACAAACATTCCCCTCTCCCTCCCTTGAAATTTTCTTTGCAAACAAAGACCTCAGCTCCAAACACGCACAAGTCGTCCACCGCATACCCATTTGAGGAATCATTGAATTCTTTTAGGCTGATGTATTTATCAAAACCCCATTCTTTCTTCATTCCTCGAAACCGCCTCGGCTTCCACTTGCCATCTTCGTGTTACAGATATTATTATACATATTATATACAGCTTATTTGTGCAAGGTAAGAGAAGACATACCTTCAACTGTGTGGTAGTTATCGTTGTTCTGATCAAGCAAAAAGAGTCGATAAACGACAAACACTTCCCAATTTGATTGGAGGGAGTCAGTCCCAGCAATTTCCAAATAGAGAGAGATGTGGTCATTCACATTCTTGCTTTTGTTACCAAGTGGGTGGAGTACCAATTTCCTGCAAGCACAGTATATATGAGTATGAGAAAGCGGTGCGGCTGAAGCCTAAAAAATGAATGAAGAAAATAAAACGGGCTGAAGAAATATCATTTACCATTTGTAGCCTCCTGCCTCAAACTCCCCGGATTCAAACCTATCCACAGAGTTCTTGGCAAACAGTGAAAAGGACTCTATCTTGACTGTGTAATGAGCCGGCGGGACATCCGAAACATACCTTGCGATCTCTGCATATTATTTCATATTGGTCAATGTTATGCTATGAGCCTATGATCTTGCCACTCTTTGAGAGTCTTATGAACTTCGAAATGTGCATGCATTTTAGAGAGAGAGATATACCGTCCATATCGCCACCAATGAGATCGGCCATTACAAAAGAACTAAACAAAAAAAGGGAATTATACGATAAGAGGGGCGGGGGATAATGTAGATGGCTCGAGGCAGACTCGACGACCAGACGTAGCTTTAGTTTATAAGAACTAAGATTCAGATACCCGATGAACGGCCATCCCAAACCATCCTCTTATAAGTTTTTGAGCCATCCGTAAAGGTATTACTTTGTGCCGTTGTGGAAGTAATATTCTGTGCTTGCGGTCTTCAACACAACAGGGTAAAGGATTATACCTATCAAAAAACAAGGAAAGGTTAAGGAATAAAGAATTCTGCAGGCCCCGAAGGTATATCTTCGTCAAGCAAAAGTTCTGTGACGCCGTAGCCTTTTGCATACGGAAAAGTGCTGCACTTTTCTTTTTCTTTTCTTTTCTTTTTTTTTTTTACAATTCTTAAAAACAGGAGGCTGAAGTTACATACAATGTTACAGACTTACAGCTCAGCCTGGTAGCTACCGGCAAGCATGTCGACAATTTTCAAATAGTAAACAAAAATCGTTTCACCAAAATGCAGCCAATCTCGCAGTTGCTATCATTCAAGTATTCAAAGTTTTACCATCAAATAAAACTGAAGGAAAAATAAACGATTTCCCCTTTCTCCAAGCACCATAAAGTGCCTAACAACAAATTTTCATGTAACCATCTTCTGTTCCAACAACAAACAATCTTGAATAACGAAGAATGCTTATGCTAGACAATACTGATAAATTTCTCGTTCCCTGGTCTACACTTGAGAGATTCTGAGGTATGATTCGATATTGTCCATCCTGCACATGATGGGCCACCTAGTTAGAATTAACATGGATATATGACTCACTGCACAAAGGCAACTGAACAACCAATAGAGTTTTAAATTCACAAAAGGTAAACCCAAAGTAAGAGAATTTATAATCAATGGCACGACTTTGAATCGCTGTATACCAAAGTAAAGGACGTTGTGTTTTCTTCCACTAAACTTAGAAATGATTTATTGGCGATAAGAGTTTCTTAGAAATCTGTAATAGCATTACCACAATCTTAACTCTACCTCAAATTATAATATACCACACCTGAATAGATTCAACTGAAAAGAAAACTCATAATGGTATAAACTATAACGTACTTGGCCGACTGAAGAGAACACGTTAAGAAGTACTCCCTACTTACTTCGTCAGCAGACTTTGACAAAGACGAAAGCCCAATCTTGTTTCTAGAAATTGAGATGACATCTTGGCCCCACATCGAGAAGCTAGATACACCATCATTATGACCTCTAAAAATAATTGGATTTGATGGTGAAAGTCTACAAAATAAATTATGAGAAGCCGTCATCAACCAAGAGTGTTACCTCGCAGCATTTACTGGCAATATCCCATAACAAATATATTCAATACATATATGTTCTTTTAAAAAGTCTGGATAGCAGGAGAGCAGATAAAAGTCGGTTGAGAATTAGCCAATAACAAGGTCCGCCTAGTTTATCCTATAATAGTAATTGGATATGAAATATGGTTCCTTGTGCTGATATATAGACAGTCCAGGGTCCCAAAACCTATTACTATATTATTGTTGGGAAGAATTGAAATTGGGAACATTCTTTCTTTCCCTCCCCGTAACTTGTTTTCTTACCTTGCTAACACCCCTCTGCCCGAGAAAGTAACTTTCTTGATTGAAGAACGGATGAATTTTCAGAAATCAAACTAACGTGATCCAATTAAAAACTTTTATTAACTCATCTCAGTGCAACTGAAAATAGTTTGCATAAAAATTTGCACAAACCTTCTCAGATCCCAAATTCGTAAGGTCCTGTCAAGAGAGCTTGAAACAAGCAAATGCTCTTCTGGTGCAGCCAACTGCAAGCATAAAAGGCAAATCAAACTCCAAATCATGGTACAGCTGCTTTTCTTAAGCATGTAAAAACTACCTTAGTCACATATCCATCATGTGCCCGCCAAGTGGCAATAACATTTCCACTCCTCGCATCAAATAGCCTACAATACCCTGAACTGAGTCCAGCTGCAATCCAGGAAGGCATAACCGAAGCACCATCTGCAACCATTTTGTCAAATCCACAAGAGCATATGGTCGAGACAAGAGAAGGAAAACCAGACTCAACGCCATCCCCTCTCCAAAGATGAAGCTTTTGACCTAGAGCAACATCAATAAACCTATGGAAAAATAATCATCCATACAATAATCTGTGTGAGTTTATTTTACTCTCATATAAATATGCTTTAAAATGAATTTGAAACCCAAAATATGCTCTCACCTAAGAGAACCATTTCCAGTACCCACTACAAGCTTGTCATCAAATTCTATATGATGCATATATGTATACAAGCTTCCATCAAATGCACTAGTTAATATTCCACTTGACAATGGATTGGAAATTATCGAGTTGGCATGGTCAGCATTTGTCTTCAAGACAGAAGATAAAGGGCTTGCAAGATGTCCAGAATCCACTGATGATTCTGCAAAGACTGATATAAGCTTTCCGGATCGGCTATTCCAGACATGAATAGTTCCATCACAAGAAGCTATTCTTCCGGTAGGCGACAAAACACAGATGTCATTGACAACCTAACAAGTTTCAAAACAAAATTAAAAAATAACCACAACCTCCCTAACCAATAATAATAATCAGGGGAAATTTTGATGTAGTTGTCAATTAATTTCTGAACGGTCCCAAGGGGCTTAGAGATAAGCAGTTATGTCATGCATGAATAAAAAAAAAAGTAGGGTCTCATTATGATCACAAAAGAAGAGAGAGAAAAAGAAAGAAGAAAACCTCTTCATGACCATAATAACCAGAAACACAGTTAACTCTAGACAGTTCCCACCTCTGAACCATTCCTTTGAACCCAGATCCTATTCCGGCAGTGAAAACATTAAATTCATCTGGACAAATGGCCAAAGATCTTACTGCCCCATAATGTGCACGAACCGAATAAACAACAGATGCTTTAATTTTCCATGGAAGTTCTTCTTTCAGACCCACCGCACGGCCAAGAAAATCAGGTCCATCCCAGCTAGAAGCTATAGTGGGGAACCAAAACCAGGGTTCAAGCTTTATAGAGTGAGACATTGATGCATGTATTTCCATGGAACCTTGATGAACATCATGGAACCGTCTTAGGGGCATCAAGTTTTTGGCACCTTGAGCCCTTTGTGATTGAGGGATTGACCACCCTACACCATTAAGTAAAAGTTTGGCAGGACTGTATTCACTAGTTGAGCCCTTACTGAATTCAGTCCTTCTACGGATCAAGTTTTCTGAACTGCATCGAGATGACTCCCCTGTACATTCCCACTGAACAAAAATATCTTCAGAGATACACAAATTGAAATGAAGTTTTGATTATATTTTGAATGAATCAGCTGAAACGTAATTGAGCACCACCCTCAAAAGCTACTCCTACCTTCCAATTATGGTACCGAAGAAGATATTGCTCAAGAAGCAACCATGTTGTACAACACTGTCGAAGTTTTTCTATCCCAAGAATAGATGCAAAAGTAGGATACAAAATCAGTCTGCAATTTTGAAGCAGAGTACGATATGAGAGAGCAAAACAAATTTAATTTTTTAAGTGGATAGAGATAGTGCTTACACAAGGTCCATGCGGCCTTCGTTTGGGACATCCCCATCAATGCTTGATTGGGAAATCTTCATATTTCTGCCAAGAGAAGTAGAWCGATAAGCAGCTTCCTGCGAAAAAGCAAGCTCATCGAATAGCTCTCTAAGTTGGGGTATAAGATGCAATGCAGTCATATCTGGTCCAATTATCTGACAAACTGTCATTAGAGAACTAGCAGCAACCTGGTCAGCAGATAGCAGATTAAATTCCAAGTCATCAAAAACTGACTAGCTGGCACATAAAATTTGAGGGGAAAACAGGTAATTCAGATATAATACACAGAAAAAAAAAAAGGTTATTATCCAAAGAAACATCATCACACGTTTAACACAGATAAGGCCATAAGGGAAAAAAAATAATGCACAAGAATTGTAAATTAAAGTAAAATATACTTTTCAACAGTTCCATGGTAAACGCAAAAATAAAAATAAAAAAAATAAAAAAAATATCTAAGTGATAAGTTGCGCACTTAACAAAACATTGATTGCAAAATGCAGTAAATAAGAAAAGASAATACCAAATAGCAATTTGCAGGCACAAAACTTCCTTACTAAAGCAGGTCTGTGCTGCTTAGTGTAGTCAATTGACACTAATATGGTATCCATAACATAATTCTTCTTATTTTCTATAGAAAAAAATATATGATCAAGAAACGTATTACATTAACAAGAAGAAGATAATGAGACTATCCTCTGACAAAGAAAAGAAAGCAATTACAGGAAATAAACCGTCTAAAAAACAAATATGCAAAGGTGAATCACGTTGGTGGGTGGCATCTTCATCAGACATCTTCCCAGTTTGCGTATTCATCTTCAAAAATCCACTTTTACCCAAAAAAGGGCGGAAATGCGTTCAATCTTTTTTTTTTTTTTTTGTGGATAAGAAAGGAAGAAAAGTCGTCAATCTTCTAGAAGTATTCCAATTCCCAATTAAATGGAGATAAGAGACCACACACGTTTTAGGAGACCCAATAAACATTAAACTAGAGAAGAACCCTAACCAATAAACAAATATTTATTTAGTACTACAACATTTTCCCCCAGACAACAAAACACTTGGTGGTAGTGAACTTTTCAATGCACTTTTTCACAATTAAATACATAAATATGGATGCAGAAATACATGAATGCTTGCAAACATGTGTAGARAGAGATTTGAAACACCTGAAGCACAGAGACATCCAAATTCTTCTGAATAAGCACCATAATATGCATAGATTTCTGACCCTGCATGACCATATGTATGCACCAAACTTTCAGAAACATCACTCCATATATTCAACTTCTACAATAAGAAGTCTTACCTCAATAAGCTCCTTTAATACCACTTCACCTCGTAAGTAAGCAACAAAACCATCTAATGTGGTGAAACAATCAATAAGGGCTAAACTACTCCAACTTTGCATGGGCTCAGGCTTGGACATAGAMGAAAACTTAATGCAGCATCTAACAACATTCTTCAGCAATGGTAGCATCTGCTTGACGATGAATATATCACCAAAAAGACCACCTAAACGGTAGAAATTTAAGTGAGTTAATTGAACGTGTCTAATTTCAAAAAGATGTAAAACCAACAACCCAACAAATCAAGAATACCAATTCTAACCAGCGCATCAATGCCATCTGCACAAATTCCTTTCCCAAAGCAGTTAATTAAAGGAAGGATTGTCTGGAACAAGAGTAAGCAAGTTATAACTGCACCGAGACACATGCATACAGGGCTTATGGGCAAATTAAGATAAAAACATGGATATCAAATACAAATTTTTCTGCCATCAACATCCAAAGACTTTAATATAAGTTAAACCTGATTAATGGTAATAGGCATGCCAAGCTCTTCACAGGAGCCAATAAGAAGCACAGAAGCTGCAGTTGCTGAGCTCTTATGTGGAGCAATAGATAAGTTTGATATGACCAAAGGATGTATTGTTTCCATATACACTTGTTTACCAAGCCGATTCCATATTTCTCTTACAAATGAGTCTTGGAGAAGGGAAACCTTCAGATGTGAATAACCAGTAACCTGAAATTAAAATATCATAACGTAAAGAGATGTATAAAATTTCAATAGGACAGTGAAATTGACAAAAATAATTCATGACTAGCCTGTAAAATCTTTTGGATAACAGGTAAGAGCAAATTTTTCACTGCTTTAGGCATCAAACACTTCAAGAACTCTTTTAGTAGTATATAAGCCCATTCAACTTCAGCACCTGACTGAGGATTCAATATAAGAGGCATGCAACAAGGAGCACACATTTCAGCCGCAAATTCTCCCATTGCCTTGAGAGCTCCTTGCTTTGCAAAATTTGCAGCATAGCGAAGTCGGGTAGCATCTTTAGCAAGAAGCTGAAGTGGAGCTAGAAATAAGTAGCATGACTTGATTGTAGCAGGAAAATAAGGTGATTCCAATATATTTCTGGCCGATGGCCTCCTATTAGTGTTTCAACAAAATAGGAGAAGTTAGTCACTTAGTGTCCGTGGCACATAAACTCATCAACCTATGACCAGGGGAACCATGGATACTTGGCAGAAACAAAATCAAAAGACAGCAGGCACAGTATATTGGAACGACTGTAATTACAATTTACAACCAGCGTTATCAAAAAGAATAAAACATCAACATGACCACCTTGTCAAGTCCTTTTGAATGCATGCTTCGACGAGTATTTTGATGTCAGGAGGAAGTTCTTGTATAAAGCCAGGCAAGCTACCACTTTCCAAGTACATAGCCAATGAGGTAGAATGAAAAAGTGGCCTCCTCAAATGAAGTTCTGCTAAAATACAACCAATAGAAAAGATGTCATTCGCAGCACCATCAGAAAATTGCAATCGAAATATTTTCTCTCTCCATGATAACAAGTCTTGATATCCAATTGAATCTTTACCCTCCACTTCAACATGTTCAAGAAGATAGTTCAGTGTAATATTGGTTCGCAGCTCACGCTGCACAAATATATCAGGAGTATTGGTTAAACATTTATCAAAGCTCTCTGCCGATAACAACTCTTTGGACAACATATCTTCTGCTTGTTTAGCATAACAGCCATAAAGAGCACTTAAATGTCTGGCCTCTTCAAGGAAGGATGATGCTTCTTCTAATTCTTCTAAATATGATATTTCAGACATAATAGTACTTTTATCTTCCAGTTCATTGACATCCCGTTGATTCACAACTGATATTACAGTGCTTCGACATGATCTGTTGGCTGGAACTTGCCGTTTCGGGTGTGGTCGGTTAAAGAGCTGACGACGTCCCACAGACCTTGGGACCGTGGTTCCAGATAAAGGCAACATAACGTTCTTGGCAGCAATAGCTGCTTCACCTGACATTTTATATCCAAAAGTGATATCAATCCACTCATGGAGTTTCGCCGAGACCCGATCACTTTCTAAAGCATCACGGTGCAATTTAATGAACTCCTCAGGACTACCCGCCCATGGAGGTACAGCTAAATCAGCCATACCATCATGCATCGAATAAAATATTTGAGAATCACAATAAAATTCAGGAATGCATTCATCAGGAGTCCATTGGTAAAGCCTCTGCATGTTAGAAGGATATTCATTGGGTTCATAAACTGAACGGACAGCCATGCGTAAAACGCTTAAAGGTAACCTTCTGGCTTTATAGCTGCAGACAGCCAACTCAGAGAGACACTCATCTGATACATGATGTGGGATTTCAGAGGTAGTGTAGGTGAAGTCCAACTGTTCATCACCTTTTGCCAACCGCCATTTGCTTTTGCTCAAGTCTCGCCAACCAACATCAGAATTCCCATCTGGCTTTGTGCTAAAATCTATCACCCATGGCATTATTGTGTGAAATTTGTGGTCATCCCACCTTCTACCAGCCAATCTATTTAAGGCAAGTAAATACTCAAAATTACTCAACTCTCCCCTCCACCATCGAATGAAATCAGAAGGCCAATCTATGGAAGAAGAAAGTTTCAGATCAGCATAAAGAGCTTTTGAAGAACAATCCTCAGCACAACAATTTATCTGTCCTGATGTAGCTATTGAACAATCTTTTACTTTCATATTTAAATCACACACTAACCCAGGCATGTCACAAATATTCAGCCAAGACCAGCACATCTCATTCAACATTATACTGGATGGGCATATATTGCCATGGAAGATCCCTAAGCCATGTATATAGGCTAGGGCGGATAGTAGCTGATATAGTAGAAATCTTATATGCCACTCAGACTTTAAGGCATCCGGACTATAATGGAGAATGTTCTCTAATGTGTATGTAGCTGTGGGCAATATTGCATTGGTATAACTATAAGTCCTTAGCATTGAAAGAACAGGCACGACATTGGGATGCCTCAAGCAATTCAGGAAGACATTCTCTTGAAATGACGGAATTCCAAGTAAGCTAAGAAAATTTATGGAGTCCCTTCCTGAAGCTCTTCCTTCAATTAAGAGACAAAGTGAGTACAGTACATGATCTTCCAAAGATCCAGATAAGAGGTTGGTAGCAATTTCCTCAAAAGTAGAGGGGGAGGAAATGCCAACACGAGCAATGGGGGCCAAGGAACTGATTATCCTCGAACAAGACAGCCTACTGGAATGGTTATATGTAGAGCTGCCAGTAGGTGATTTCTCAGCATTTTGTGGCGAATACAGAGAACCTGTATGAGTACTATCCTCTTGAATTTCAACTTGATCTCCACTAACTCGAGATGTAGTGTGAATACTCTCTTTGCTACGACTGTTAAAATTGTCCAGCAAATACTCGTTCCTGCATTGGGGGGGTGTTAGAATTCTCCCTAGAGAAAAATTAAATAGACTAGTACGGAGAAACCCATAACTCATCTGATACTATCAAGCAGCTTGTCCAAACTGGTTCCCGGGTTTGACACTTGTGAGCGCTATTATTTATAAATTTTGGCAAATGCTAAAAGCTAAAAKAAATTGAGAAAACAAATGAAGGAAAAGACGGCCATACACATAGTTGGTGATGCAATTGTAATCATGGGCTGGCAGATATACGATCATAAATTGAAAACCTGAAGTTTCTCCATTCGACACCTGCGCACAAGAATAATCAGATAACAAGAGAAAGGTTCTCAAATGCACGCAGTTAAACGCATTGGAATAATGATTAGGCAGCTGCAAGCAGTGGGTGGGAGACCTGAACAACGGCGGTGGATGTGAAGGGCAGGGCCGAGTCGGAGATGGCATAGGAGACTATAAGTCGGTCGGAGAAATCGAACTTGATTCGACTTTTAAGACACTCGTAGCAAAACCTGGACTCCCCTTCCATTTACCGGAACCGGACCATTAAACTTGAAAGGCTTTCTGGACAGGAACTTCAACAGGACGTCTGATCGTTCGTTGTAAAAATGAAAATTGATTACTTAAAAGAAAATTCCAGCACCCGTCCCATCCAACCCAGTTTTCAAATTGTAGTGTAGAGGAAAAAGAATCAAAATCATCTCGACTCCCACCTTGTTCTTCTGTTAAGGGCAGGTAACGCACCCGCACGTGGTCCAGTCACGTAACAGTTCAATTCAATATTGACACGACACCATACTGATGCAAGTTTTACAAGTTTTCACTTTTTATTTTTAACTTCACATCAACAAACTCCGCGCAACCTAACATTAAGGTCTCTGCACAATCACAAATACCACTTCTAAAATGACACTTCTTCGCTCTTACATCCGCCAAAACGAGTTAATTCATATATATGYTGTGAGTTGGATCTTCTACCACGATATTCTATACTAAAGCAATCAAATTTATGAAAGCTTTTCTTGCATGTACTGCTAAAGTGTTCACGAATTCAATTTTTCTTTATCTCATCAAATAACATACCTTTCGTCTGTTTTTTTAGTATCTAATGAATTTGATTTAACATTTTATCATGGACAATATTTTCCATTTTCTCATTGTTTCTGTCTTTTAAATAAAAGGCAAGTTAGAGAATATCGTCTTTTAGACATTTCTCTAATTGATCTCACTTATAATATCTTATTAAAAAAAATTATGTGGTATTAAAAAAGAAAATAATAATAATTATCACATATAAATTATAATTTTTTGTTTCTTTCTGGTACAATAAATAGATAGAAGTGAGAAGATTCGRATTCATGATATCACGTATGCTAATTACCGATGAACTAAACTAATGTTTCCATAAAATTATATATTTTCAATCTCAAATCAAGTAAAAATGTCATTTACTAGCATACCAACTTGGCTGGCGCACACATTTTTTTTTTCCCTTTTTTTAAGATAATTGATTGAAAATATCTATCTTTCCTTTCCTTGGCTAAAATGTTATTAAAAGCAATTTTGAAACTTCAGTCCAATTTGAACGCTAAATTAAACTCACCATAAAAGAATTAACTTTCTCGGTTCGTTCTATGAAAAGTTAACCAAAGCAACAGCTTAGAAGTTCGCCAAAGAACTGAAGTTGAAGATTTATTTACATCACAGATTACACCAACGTGGATGGCCATAAGGTAATATGGATACCCCGAACTCCCAATGAATCTCAGCCTTTGGAGTCTGCAGCAGCATGCAATATTGAATATTCTGCTCTTTTTAAGTTGAGATTTGAATCTCTGTTGGCCTCGCTTCGCAGGCGTTGAACAGAACAGCAGCCAAACTTGCAACAAACCGGACGCGGGACTTCGAGCTACTATATACAACGTTGTACCAATCATTGGTAACGGCTGACCCCCAACAAGCCTTCAAGCTCCTGTTTTCCTGGTCCTAATCAAGTGCATTATATTGTTAACTAAAGAACTGAAATATATATATTCTAAAACAACCCCAATGTAGTTTTCATTGCCTTAAATTCTATGGTACCATTATACTCCAAACGAGTCATGAGATGACTATATCTCATTTCCGGGGCCGCCACTTCGGTGATGCGAAGAACTGCCACTAGGAATCCGGTAATGAGCGATATCATCGTTGACACGGGAGAGAAGCATTTTTGAGTGGGCCAACCTCTTAGTTAACTCGTCATCCTGCACCTCATTTATTAAAATCAGATTCTTCAGCAAGGGGTTATCATATAGTAAACTAATTCTGGTGATTTGAGAACCTACCTTGGTTAGAAATGCATGATGATTTTTCTGTGGGCTACTTCGTGTTCGATGAAGGGTGCTCGTCTTTTCATCCAGCTCAATAATCTTCCTCTTTAGTTTTTTATTTTCCATCTAATCCAGAACGGCAGCAGAATAAGAACAATTGTGCAGAAAATGGAACAGCTCAGCTCAATAGAGCATAAGGCCTCTATTTATCATGTTTATGTGAAGTGTAACAGAATGTACTTTCGACAAAATAGCTACATTAGGAAAGAAATGACAGAGGCAGCTTGCTATATAGTATGCTAGCTACGGACCTACAGTACAAAAAGTATCCACAACAATTTTTAAAACAAAAAAAAATGGCAGAAATATACAGAATACTAATGCTTAACATCCGCTCGCAAGTGCGCTAGTCTAGGATAAAGCGGGGTTACGATTGAAAAGGCAGAAGAAATACATTACTAATGCTTAGCTGAAGACTGGAACTTGATACCTATCGAATTATATTAAAAATAGAAATATCAGTGTAAATATCTCGCTCTTACTTTCAGTATCCCATTCTGTACAGAAAGCAAGTGATCCCGCTCGCGTAGTTTCTCATGGGCTATTTGAGTAGCGAGTGCTTCAGCTTCCTTCTTGCTTAGAACAGATTTGTAACTACAGAAACCACTGTCATGTTAAGGTAGGGAGAGAAGACAAATTCAAGCATGCATGAGGTAGCACATGACACTGACAGAAGATAGCTGGCAATTTCTGATGGTATATGCGAGGATCAGGTTCTACCCTCGATCTGTAGTCTTCTCAAATCAGGGACTACAATTCAGAGGACCCCACCTCCAAATAAATAATATTTCCAATGCAACCATTTTTCGGTACTACTTCTTTATCCTTGATTATTAAAAAAAAGCAACCAACTCAAAAGGTTCGCCCACAATGTATGAGTGAAGGTTGTTCTAAATCAATGACCGATTCATCTTGACATCTCTTCCACCTTACCGAAAATGGACCAATTCATTTTCTTCTCCAATTATTAAGTACAATACAACTATCCTCAACTTTCAATTTTAAGGACAGAGCTAAATAAGCAATATGCAGCTAGAAACATACTGGATAAATCTAATTTACAGCATTCTGGAAGAGCTCTCACCATTCTCTTTCCTCGTTTAGATCATTAATTTGTGTCCTCAAGTCATGAACCTCCTGTACCTATAAAAGAAAAAATAATGTCTATTAGACAGGTCATATTGAAAATTAAACAAATGAAAAATTGTAGTCTTTTCCAGTTTCCACCTTTTCCCGGAATTGCTGCGACTGTAGATGAGCCTCCACAACCATTTTCTGAACTTGGTATTGATCTATCAAGTTCTAAAATTTTCCAAGAGCAAAAATTGTCACTAGCAACATGCAGGCGTAGTATTTGGACTCGGTGAGAAAAAAAAAACATTATTTATCCAAAAAAATAACAGGCAAAAACTTACAGCATATTTAGTCAAGTCCAATTTCACACCGAGTAAATCTCGAATTACATCATGTGTCATACTTTCTGCTGCTGCGAGCCTAGCATTCAGTATGCATATCTGATACAGCATAACGTTTTACATTGAGTTCACAAACATGTTCAATACTTCAGTCTTTCACAAGGATAGCAGATAAATCATTCAGATGTCAAGTCATTAAGATTTAATGTACCTCTTTCTGACGACTAGTGGCCAGTCCCTCAAGCTCCTCAATACGAAGCCTTGCTGTCGACAGCTCATGCTCCTTCTCCAAGTTCATCTGATGCACCAAGTTTGAAATGCATCTGAATGGTGAGCTCGAACCCCTTGGTCTCGCTGAACTTTTATCAATTTTGTCTAATGGTGCAGCCATTAGATTTGACTTATCTTTACTTGCATCACGAACCATTGCTTCCAGATTTGTGTACTGCCCATAAAGGATATGGATGGAAAATATGGTAAAAAAGAAAAAGAAATATATAACCGATCACCACCACCAGAAAGCATGAAATTTCCGTCCAAGTTGACTCAACGGTAAACATGTTAAGAAGCCATAAAAGCGGAGGTACCACCACCAGTAAGCTGCCAGCTTTGATGGGTTGCTATAAATCATAATAACTCAAACAAACCAAAAACATCAAAGTAATCCTTGATGATCACGATATAAATTTTTTTTTTTATTTGAAAAGGTACCGAAGAGCTCTTGAATTCTTAAACATATTTTTTTTTCATGATCACGATATTAGTTCTTAATCTTGTTTTCAAAGTCTCGTATCTTTACAATTAACAAATTTAACGCAGATCTACATCCATAACCTGATGCAAATCCATAATCTACTATTTCTAGTTTCAGCTTTTCTACCTAATAGAAGTTAACAATGATGCATATATGAATTGAATTTCCTTTTTCTTTCTTACCTTCTGTTGGTACTTCATTGCCTGGGCATCAGCATGCAATACAAGCTCCAAGATGTATTCTTTGTGTCGTTTGATCTTCAAATCCAAGGAGATAAACTTCCATCAGTAAATAAGTCAATTTATAATTGATTTTAACAAGATATTCACAAGACAAACAAAATATTTTTTCCAAAAGGAGCACTGTCCAAATATCTAAGTGGTTTAAAGGACCTCTTTGTCTTGTTCTGCCCTTTCATCTTCAAGAAGTTTTATTCTACTTCGTGCCTCAAGCAGTTCTAGAAGTATACTACCCTGTTGCCTGTAGAAATTTCTTTTATTTCCTTAGCAAACAAAAAGTGATATTATAATAGTTCATATTAAAAAAGAATCAAACAGAATTTTGAACCTGGATTGCTCTTGAGCGTGCTCAACAAGTTCATCTCCAAAATCCACAGCTTCAGTGAGATTTCCTACAGCTAATAGTCTCTTTCTAAAGATCTGTGTCTCCAGTTCTAGTGATTCTCTTAATGTGCGATTTTTCTCGACCTCCGCATCCATGTCCTGCACCTGCAAGAGGAAATGGTAGAGAATAGGCAACCCTGATGTCAGTGGACAATTAAAGTAGAACTGTTCATATTGTTTCCAAAGCAGCTATGGATTGACCTTTGTTTCCAACATGTTTATGGTACTCTCAAGCTCTTCAACAGAGTGTTCTAAAATCTTCACCTCCTCTTCCTTCTGTTCTGCATACAATTTACTGGCCTCTGATTCCTGGAATTATAAATGGAACTCACAACAAGATCAGATCTACCAAAGATCAAACCTTGACTTTTGGGATTAAAAGAAACCATAAAAATTCTAAGACAAAACCTGATGAGCTTCAGTGGCAACAGCTTCCTTTTCATCAGCCAATGCGTATGCCATGTCAATCTTGTCAGTCAGAATGCAGACTTGTTCATGGAGTTGGTCTCTCTCACTAATGACTCTCCTCAATTTGTTCTCAATGTCTTCAACTGATAAAAGTAATTTCTTTTCGCTAATGACGTGTTCAGTAAGATGGAGTATTTCATTTTCCAGTCTATTAACTATATCCTGCTCTTCTGCCAATTTTCTTTCRGCCTCAGATTTCTTGAGATAAAGATCTTCTGCCTGCTTCTTCAACTGTACATTATGTTCATAAATGGTATTCATTGTTTCTTTTGCCTTCTCAAGCTTGGAATTAGATAATAACAAAGCCTTTTCAGTATCAGTCAGAAGCTCCTCAAGTTTTCTCTGGTGAACTAGGACATTGTCAAACTGACTTGCTTTAATCTCCAATTCATGCTGGAGCTGACTCATAGAACAATCTAACTTTTCTGTCTCATCTTTCATGTCTTTTGTTTTTGCGGTTGATTCCTGCAACAATCTAAAATCAAAAAGCAAACCTTCTAATAAAACCTCCTTCCTCTTCAGTTCCTTCTTAAGTGCCAAATTTTCATACAAAATGTCATCATCGGAAAAACCTCCATCTGCCTCTTCCGAATCTGTGACCAGTTCGGTTCTTCCTCCGTCAATCTTACTAGTTAATATCATATCATCCTTATCAGTAAGGCAGATAGATCCTGAAGTCTTGTTTGATTTCATACACCTTTGCTGTTTAAGTAGTGGAAAGCTAGGTTCTCCCTTGAAGCATGCAAATTGCCGACACATTTCTTCCACATAGCACTGATGGACAACAAATGAAGCAAATTCTCTTCCCGTTATTTCCAAGAAAAACTCTTCCATTAGGGATTTCCAATTACTAATAGGTTTAAGCATCTCATCTCTAAAGGATATGACATCACACGATATCATGCCAAACTTCTCATCCACTTCTCTTTGTGTTTGTGAAAGACACCCTTCAAGAAAAGACAGTGAGTTTGCCACATCTTCCAGACTAAACCAAACTTGTTCCTGAAGTAATTTATTCTCATCATCTTTCAGTTGCATTGAAGACTTGAGCTGTCCAACTTCTTCAATCAAGTTGTCTCTTTCTATCTGTAACTGCTCTCCAGCTTGCTTATATATGCCAGTTAGTTGCGTCGCATTTTCATTGGCTCTCAACAATGCATTTAACATAAGATCAGCTTCTTTTATTGCTTCTTGAGCTTCTTCAAATCTGGTTAAGAATCCACCATCCTGCTTAATTTCCTCAACACAAATTACCTGCAACGCCACAGAGCCTCAGAAAATTAACCCTGAAAGTCTCCCTCAAGATCAACGTTTAAGATATTAACAAAACAAGAACATTGATTCCACATATGCCCTGCATAGGATTTGATTCAGTATTGACCCTTCAATTATATAAGTTTTCGTATACCTTACTGGTGTTATCGCAAACTGCTTCAGCTTTTTCCATCCTCAATTTGGAGGGTGTTTTTGCCTGGTCCATTTCTGTTATCAATTTTTAGATCACTATTAATCAGATTTGATTTCCAGCTATTGCCAGTTACAGTTACTAAGAGATAAAATTCAAGTAAACTTTACCTTCTGACAAAGGATCACCACCTATATCATGCACTAGGAATGCATCTATTTGCATACATAGTTTATGGATAGCACGATACGACATACACAGTTCCTTTCTCAGACAAGTTGTGGTTCCTCTGTCATCATTCATATAGCCCAAGACTTTCCCTCTTGAACTAACACTCTCAGATGAAATGTCAGAGCTTGAAGTAGAGCAATCGGAACTCCAACCATCTTCTTTGACTGAATGTTGACTAATATACCGGTATTCGCAACCAGCTATATTTCTATCAATGGAATCTTCAAGAACATTTAGTCTGTTTTTTGCTTCATATATTTTAGCTTTTATTTGATCCAAAATATTATCTTGGTTTTCAATGTTCCAATATTTGTGTGCTGATGGAACTTTATCTTTGAAGAATTGGAGATTTTTACAATTTTCATTCGTTGTCTTGGCTTTTAACCTCAATTCATGAATTTCTTTCACCATTTCCTGAACTAACTCTTGATATTCTGAATAAAGATCATGAATGTCGATACGGAGGGCTGAAATATGTGTTTCCATGTCTGCATAATGTGCACTAGTAATATTCCTCAACTCCATTATACCTAACCATATCAAATTGCTTTCTGTATCTAGTTCTTCCAGTAGTAATGTATTTGTCTTGGCCATTGCATCATCAATGACGTGACTGCCTCCTTGAGATGAAACATCCAACTCTGAGATGGGCATCTCTCTCCCAATGTTATTACAGCAAGCAAGCTCCTGAGAATTGGATAACCATTCTACTGCGATGAATGCAGCATCAGCAGATTTCTCAGTCTTAACTAACCGATCCTTCTGAAATTTGAATCTTTTGTCTAGAAACTCTACCATGCTGTTCTTGTCAGTCGTCAGAGTTCTCAACTGTTTAGCATCTGCAGCATTTGCATTATCGTGCATTTGTTGTGATTCATTTAAAGTGAGTGTTGCTTCCTTCAGTGAATTCAGCTTCAGCTCCATTTCTTGCACCATCAGTCGTGCATCTTCCAAACTTTTATGCAATAATAGAATTGTTTCTTCTTTTTCAATACAAACTTCAATGGCCCGCTGCACTTGTTCTTTGATCCCAACATTTACTTTAGGAAACAAATTAGCGATACCTTCTATCTGCCCATGTGCATCTCTGATAGATCTAGAACTATCTACAAGGAAACTTGTTAGTTCTATCATTGCTGTTTCCCAGTCAATACATAGCACCCTCATCTCCTCACTTTTCACAGACAAAGCATCTTTTAGTCGTGTATTTTCCTGGGCCAAGCCATGTAACCTATCATTAAGTTCTAACTGAAGGCCTTCAACCTCTTCCTGCAATTGAAGAATTGTACTGGCTGTCTCCATCTCTACCTGTTGACGAACATGTTCGACTTGGTTCTGTTGAGAGAGCTGAAAGATCTGATTTTCTTGGTACTGGATGTTAGATATTCTGACCTCCTCAAGTTCCCTAGTCAAGTTTTCCAACTTTATTTGTAAAGCTTTGTTGTCAACATCTTCATTTTGGTCCACCATATTGCCTTCATTTTGACGTTTTGTGACGTTAAACTGTTGAAAGAATTCTCCCATCATGCCGTGTTTGACCTGCTTGCATCGGTAGTTCTCACCTTGCATATTGTTTTCTGAATCCATTGTTTCAGCCAACGTTCTTGTATCGATCAGATCTTTCTGAGAACATATGAGCTTTACATTGAATTCGTTATCTGAACCTTGACCTGTTTCATTTTCCAAGTTCTCAGCATTTTCTGTAATATAAGATAGTGTGTCATCTCGAGAATAACTCTTGATGGACATCGTTTCATCCTGTAAAGGTAACACAAAATTTGCAAATTAAGTCTTGGAAAAAAAAGGAAAAAGAAAAAGAAAACATGACATTCATACAATTAAATTTCTCAAAGAAGTATAAAACTAGTTACTTTCTAGCTTCAGATTGAGGTAAAGTAAATTTTTTTAGTTGTTCTTCATTTGATAAGAAAACTTGACAACTAATCAGTAAATGCCCATGAACCTGATATTTATCTCGTTCAGATACGGTTGAGTTTTTTCCCAGAGCAACCAAAAGCTGTATAATGAAAATATTTTAAATAGCTGCCACGAGATTAATGAAGTAGTTGTGTTGCTGTAAGTAGAAAAGCGGACAAACATGGAAGGGAAAATTATCAAATATTCAGAGACCTCATTGCGCAATTCTGCAACTTCAGTTAGCAGTGCTTCACGCTCTCCTAGATCATAAAAATTTTGAAACCTGATGCAATAGTTAAATAGGACGAGTTATTGGGTAACAAAATTAAAAATACCATTTGATTCAATAACATAGCATATTATTACACTTGAAGTTGCTCAATGAGTCTAGAGTTCTCTGAAGAGATTTTTGTCAACTCTGGATTCCTATTAATCTTTGCTTGAAGCATATTAATCTCCACCACTAAGGCCTTGTTTTCCTCCAAAAGATATTTATCAGTGGACAGCACCCCACCTAATAACAATTCAAGTTGTCTAATTTTCTCCTCACGAAATTTTAACAACATTTTAGTACGTTGAGCATCCTCCTCTTGTTGGAAAGCCTGCATGAAATGTCATAACTACAAARTTGACCTCCATATCATATCATAGCATCTATCAATCAAACCTCATCTTTCTAATCAAAATTAGAATGAGTCATACCAAACGCTTCATGTGTTCAATTTCACACTCTAGCTTTTGTATTGCAGTATTTGCTACTTCTTCTCTCCTTAAYGCACCAATAAAAGTAGCTTCCATTAGTTTCATCTGTTGCATCTATCTAAGTATCAGTGACTGAATCCAATCCAGCAATCCACTAAAAATAAAGATAATCTCGATATACTTGAGAAGGTGTTTTTTCCATGTTTATGATCAATACCTTATGATTTGCAGTTTCCATTCTACCTCCCAATGAATCATAGCCTACAAACAAATCACTTACTCCAGACTCTTCAAATATTGGAACATTACTCAGTATAGACCTTGGAAAATTACTATGCTTCAGTAGAAAGGACAGCTGACCCTGCGCAGTTTCAAAATGCATTGGTTTTCTACTGACAAGTTCGTGTCCAATATGACACTTACAAATCTACAGCCTTAGTTCATACCTTCAAGTGTAGGATTTGCCTTTGGAGTGCAGTTTCATCACCTGAAGCACACTCATTAACTTTTGCCTAAAACATTATAAAGGGGAAGCTCTTAATAAATTGTAGTTTCATTGGAATAAATATGATGCGTCTGTGTGTGCTCTCGTTGGAAAAAATATTAAGTACATTATTCTGAATCTGTTTGGCACGCTGTGCAAATTTGAGAGTGCTTAGTGTTTCATTCGCTGAGCTGCAGAAGCAATGTGCAAAATTAGGAGTATCAAAGAAAGTTAAGAGGGATATAAAAGGAGAGGACCTCGTTTTAGTTTCAGACAGAAATTAGCACTTACCAAAATGATGGGCTGACATTAGCAATGACAGTTGTTTTTGAGTTTCCACCCAAAGAATCCTGTATCCACATTTGTCGTTCAAATATTTCCCAACTCAGAGGAAAAATGATAAACAAATACACAGGATCATATTTAGATTAAAAGCTTTTAAGAAAGAACCTGTAGTAGGAATGTCAACCTTGAATCTCTGTACGGAATATGCCTATGCTTCCCATGAGCCAAATCTACTAATGACATAATGACCAAGCTACAGCATAGAGCAGTAATAAGCAACTGAAATATACAAGAGAATCAAATAGTTGTAGACAACTGCTTTCATATAACTCTCTAAAAAAAATTGTATCTTTGAAAATTTTGTTCCTTTTATATATCAATGAAAAGTTTGTATCTTCAGAAAAATATATATATATAACTCTCTACAAAATTTCTTCCAATATTAGTCTATTCTACAACAATAAATTTGACTATTCAGGAAGGAAAAATTTTATAGGGACCCGTCAAGTAATTCCTTTGGAAATCTTTCATCGTTCAAATGCAGAAAAATACCAAGTTACTCGATAGCTTTTTCTTTCACAAAATACAAACACGGCAACAAGTAAAGAAGAAATATCATAAAACCAGCATTCGATGGTCAATTGTCAAAATGGGGAACCTTGAAAACTAGCCAGATCCCCAGGTTGGATTTGTAATTTCAGTTTTTTCGCAATACTATGATCACAGCTTTTATTATGCTAGATATGAAGAATAATGAAGAGTTTGTCAAAATTTGTAGAAAGTCAAAAGGAAAGATAAAAACAATCAATCGAGAAATTTTGCATGATGAAAAAAAAAAGATTTCGTGAAACTAAAATAACCTTTTAAAAAGACGAGTAATAATGTGATTTTTTATGTTAATTTTTGTTTGTTAGATTTAGAGGCAATCCTGGTAAAAGCACTCCCTAACAAATGACTGGAATGATAGGCATGTATAAAAGCTTCATCTCAAGCTCTATTTCCACCGTATTACCCTTCATCAATATAAAAGAAGTTCCGAACATCACATTACTTGGTTTAAATATAGATTTCAAAAGGCAAGATGTCTTTTCATTTCAGTTTAAAAATGAGTTTAAATGCTTAGAAATAGGACAACACGTTGTGTAAGAATAAGTATTAAAGGAAACGCATCAGAGTCACTAACTAGGACAACACGTTGTTCTAATTACCCTAGAGTTGACAACGACTTGTTTATATTTGCAGCTTCTTTCAAGCGATCCCCCTCTGCACCAGAACTTTTCTGCCTGGACCATCAATAAAGTTAGTCAATGATGTAAAAGAATTGCAAACTAAAAAGGGTTGATAGGCATCCAAAAAAAGGTTTACCTTTCAGAACCAGCTAAGTCTACCAAGTTTAACCTCGCAAACCTAAAGTGAGTTCTGGAATCTTTCTCCCAATGACTTTCTATTATACAAGTAAAAACACTGTGGGAGCGGCTACTCWCACTGTTCATATGCGTAGCAGCCATCTTTCTGTTTGCAGCACCCTGAGTATGAAATGGAAATTAGATCTCGATCATGTTGCCAATCCAACAAAAAAAAAATGTGGCACTTGAATGCAAAATCTCAAGAGGTCCACCTGTAAGAGAAGCTTGACAACATCATTTATAGTTGTAACATTGTGTTCTGTAAGATTCTCTACGTATACTCCTTTCTTCAAGTCTTCTCTGAGCTACAATAGGAAAAGTCTTAGTGCTCTTAATGATCGAGGAACGTAGAGAAAATAACCCAGAGCAAAATTGTTTTTAGAGAACTTAGAATTACTTGTAAATTAGTCGATGAAGGTTCCAGTAGATCTGCTATTTGCTCRTTGTATATTTCTAGAAAGGAACATTTGCAGCTATATTTCAATTTAACATCCCTCTTGCTCTTTTCCTCCTATACGAATAGTTTGTCATAAGAAACCCAATCGGGAACAAAATAACCCAGGAGACGTAATATAATATTTCATGCAAAGATCGTATCAATTAAAAACACAAGGAATTAAGTTGCCAAACCATTCCAATTCTTGTAAATAAATGTTCAAAAATGCGCAAAGTTAGTCCACAATCTTCATTGAGTCTGCCCTCCACCTCGTATATTCCACCCATCATGGTATATGTTTTGCCACTACCAGTCTGCCGGGGCCAAAAAATTAACATATAAATCCCTCTTTGAAAAAAAATAAAAAAATTAAATCCCCGCAAATTTTATAAAATGAGCATGTACCTGGCCATAAGCAAACATGCAGCTATTATAGCCAGACAGGCAATTTTCCACCATTGGCTGTCCAGCAACCTTGAAGAGGCTTTCCTAAATTTTCACAGAAGGAAGAAATGAGCGCCGACATAAAGGTATCTATATAACTATACTTATTTTACTTTCTGAGAAAAAACAAACTGGAAGCAACCAAAACTAATTGTGTTTAAGGCCATCAGTGTAGGAGCTACAATACTAAATTTAACTTGATTAAGCGTTCTCCAGAAGAGACATATTTCTACTCAAACAAACAAAAAACGAAAGACGGGTGGGGAAGAGGGAGAGAGACTGCATTCTAAGTAAATGTTAGCACCTGCGATATTGTTTCGCAAGCTATATGATCGAAGGTGAATCTGGTCTCTGGGTGACCGAGCCACACCAAAGTCTTTGCAGTATCCTGTCTCAAACATCGACCATAGCCTTGAGAGTCTCTCTCCGTAGTACTCAAGGGTCGAATACGTATCATTACCTGTACAGAATAATCATACATCCCATGATTCACATCCATAGAGCTATCCAAAATGGAGGAACTACAGAACACGAACCAACCTGCACGTTGTGATCCTTCCAAAAACTTGGATCTTCCACAAGGTCGAAGTGTGGAACTTCGACAGGTAGCTCAGTATTCGGAATCGGCATCGACATCCTTCTGGAAAGCCTAAAGGAACTTCCTCCCCTACCATCCGCGAGTTGGTGAGCTTTACTAGCAACTATTGCTCCACCGAACGGAACTCTAGACGAACTCTTTGCAGGAGTGGTCTGTCTTGAGCTGGGCTCAGAGCTGACCCTCCGGCCTTGAGCTGAAAGCCTTGGAGTGGCGTTGTTGATACATGCACTCCCACTAAATTTAAGCGAAACTTCAGATTTTGTATCACAAGACCAGTCGGGTTTGATGGATTGGAGCTTGTAGTTGGAAGCAAAACCAGAATCCTGAAATTCTTTTTGGTATTGAGCTGGATCTGCAATAATGTTGAAAGGGGTTCTAGGAGGTGGAAAATGAAGTGCACTCGGCGAGGTTCCGAATTCATTCTCGTTGGGCTCCGGTTGCGATAGGGAAGTAGATACTTGTTTCGACATGGTAGAGCTCCCAGACCCAGGTACCGATGGAACGGAAACTCAAAAATCAAGGTGATGAATGAGTGGACATTCGAAAGGAAGCCGAAGCTCACTGGTCAGTGCAGTGGAAGAGTATGAGTAGAACAGAACGGGAAATGGATCGGACGATGAGCACAGCACGAAGACCACACAGCCACAGCCCGCCCGCCCATTTAAATTTTGAACTATTTTATTCACGAAAGCTCCCCTGATAGGCTGATTGCAGTCGAGATTTGGAAAGTAGCCCAAAATCAAATCGAAATTCTTTGCTTTGGGTGGGCCTGGAGACCGTGGTGTTAAAATGGGAAGCAGAGATTGGAGGGAGGGAAGGAAGCCGCGGAGTTCAAATTCGAATATTTGTTGATGAAGTGGTACGTGGAGATGGGGGCGGCTTCAACTCCAATTTTTTCATTATTAATCTCCTTTATCGTTGTGGTTAAGAAAATCTTCTAGAATAAAATTATTTATTTCTTTATAAGACCCAAATTTCAGTTCTAAATATACTCGCTGTATGGATATTGATTGTTGTTATTAATTGCATTGCATCATGTTTTGTTCATTAATTGTGGTAAATCGTGAATCAATGCAAGCTATTCAATTATTAATTAGTATGCGACTAATCCAATTTTAAAATTTTTTATCTTAAAAAAAATACCAGCTATTTTTAAAACAAAACACCAGCTATTTTAAAATCAAATATACGGGTGAGATAGTATTGATTTAGAAAACACAAAACCAATTCTCGAATGAGGTAATTTAACTAGTTTTGGTGGTTGTATACTGTAAAAGAAGGTTATTCTCATGCATAAAAAAATAGTTGTCYTTTTTTTTTGTTTGTCTCTTATTTTATCAACCTTCCGAGTATGTATGTGCGACTCAACTCGAACATAAACTGGCTTGACTAGTAAGTGACAGATCTACGTGAAGAGGCAAGTGCCTCTAAATGTGTTGCCTCTAAATGTGTATTAAATATAATATAGTATGTTATTGATTTAAGAAACTGTCTTCTTCCGATTGGTTTCCTCCTTTTTAAGGTGTCGTGCCCCAAATCCACGTTTTGAGTTTGAATCTCACTTTTATGTGATTTTATTTATTTATTTATTTTAATATGTTTTTATTGTTTTTGTTTCTTAAATATATTTTTAGATAGGGGTAAATATGACAAAAAAAAAATTTAGTAAAATAAGTAAAATATAAACAACATTTAGTTTTTTCAAATATAGCAATTTTTCCAACAAAAAAATGGAGGTTCGATTATAAAATTATAATTTTACCCTGCAATATATCTTATATACATCTGTAATATTTGCCACTGATATAATAACTAGTGATATATGCCTCTAATATACCATTGATATAATAATGATATACAATTGATGTACTTYTTATATAACTATGATATATATTGAACTTCTAACCTGATTTACCATTAATATACGTGTGATAACCATGGATTTACCACGTCAATACAATATTTATATATTTGTGATATATACTTAATATGTCTATAATTTACCATTGATATACAAATTATATACCACTTATATAACTGTGATATCTACTAATATAACACTAATATATATTTAATATGCTTTTAATTTACCATCGATATATCTATGATATAACCATGATATCTACTAATATAACTATGATACATGTGTGTTGATATAATATTATTATATATACTATTTGTTCATACGGAAACAATGGTGCAAACAAAATTTAAAATATAAAGTTATTGTATAAAAGATTTATGTGGATCATGCACGTCTAAAAAAAACAAGTTAAAAATATAATATACTTTATAAATTTAAACCGTTTATATCCTTATATTTAGTATCTAATCAATATTAATATAGAATAAATAGTAGGGATATAGTAATCGATATTATTGATAATATTAATATATCAACCAACAAATTGCAATGATAAAATAGGAACAACTGATATACCTTATATTTAATATACCAGTTGCATATATATTTAGTATATATTTAGTATGTTGTGAATTTTCGGTACATCAAATATATATATGTATTAATACATCTAATAATGTATATCARTAGTACATCATAGGTATATCAGAAGTATATCAGATATACAAAACATATATAGATGGAATGTATATCAGATATATATATACATTTGATGTATATTAGATATCACAAGGATAAAATCAAAATAATAAAAATGCCGAAAATAAAAATTCAAAATTTTGGCTATATTTGAAATTTTGAAAAACTGGTGACATTATTTAAAATACATAAATTATTTTGTTAACCACCACAATTATCCTATATTTGTTCATTTTATCTTTTAAATATATTTTTACTATTTTTGTTATCTAAATGTATTTTTATTCATTTTTTGCTTTTTAAATATATATATATTTTTTTGTTCTTTAAATATATTTTTATATTTTTTATTTATTTTTGTTTTTTAAGTATATTTTACGAACTTTTTTTTGTTCACAATGTTAGTCTGTTTTGATTATCTAAGTATATATTTTTTAAACATATTTTTTCATTTAAAATAAATAATTTTTTAATGTCTAATTATGTTTTTTTGCTCACAAAATAGTTTTAATTAAGTTTTTCTTAATACAACATGTCGGGGTAGGGGATCGAACTCACAACCTCTTGRTTGGAGGTACATATCAATTAACGCTGARTTATACTCGCTTCGGCGGTTTTAATTAAGTTAATATTATAGAACATATTTATTTTAATAAATTTAATTAATAATCCTGAACTTAGATAATTGTCCTAGTTTTTATTACTTTATTCMATAAAAAAACCACAAAAACTCAATATTTTTAATAAAGATAAAGTTTATCAAATTGAATTTGATTATAAAATCTACCGTTAAATAACTCTGTACCAACTTACCAATTTAAGTAAAAAATAAATAAAAAATCAACTATAGTATTGTTTTTGTATGAATCATATCAATTATTACATACCAACAATATTTTTTAACTTGTTTCACACATTATAATATTTTTTCAACAAATTTTCGAATGAAAATATATGGAATGGTCAAATTTGCAACACATGTCAAAATTACAAACACTTATATGTATGCAAATTGATACACATGGCTAGGGTTGAGTTTAATTGATATTTTCCCATTACGTTTATATTCATTTGTACCGCCTTGATCTAAAATCTTGAATCCGCCATTGCGATTGGTGAACTAAGATGCTTACGAGCAGAGACCTGCAAAGGAAAAAACATTTAAATGCTAAAGTCAGTGAGTGGTCGAGCTATATCCAAGAGAATATAGTTCCGCGTACCTGAAAGTGATGCAGGTGTCTCTATTTMTGGGTGGAGTTTTCGACAAGGCGTCCGATGAGGTTCCAACAACGATTTGGTGTTCCATTCGATTTGTTGTCGTGAATGTGTCGAATATCCATTATTGGCGCAATATCCTCTAATCAACGCGGTTAGTAGCTTAGACAGTTGATGTGAATGATGTTGGTTCGACTCATATTATATTTCAGGCGCCGAGTTCCTAGTTAGGTCAGCTCGACCTAACCGGTAAAGTTCGAGGCGATAACCTCGTACCAATCGTATCCACTTGCTTACTCATTGTTGTTATCTTTTAGGGGTTGCCACGTGATCAATGAGAAATAATATCCAATAGTCACAATTGCATGTAATATTGGAGGATACACAAGCTTCTTTTAGATAATGTTTATAGATCATTTTTATAAAGCATATACTATTAGCTTGTCTCACTTTATTTATTTTTCCCGCAACTTGATTAATGTCTCCCTCACGATACTTTTACACCTTTAGCCTCCCCTTTCTCTCTTCGTTGACTAGGCTATGATCTTTTTTCTTAATGCACTGTCTTCTTAAAGACGGTGAATTCTTAGATTCGCGTAGTCAAGACTGTCTCCCTTTCGATTTCAATCTCCTCTCCTCTCTTCATCCCCTTCATGAATTATGTTTATACATGTGTASATATATTCAAATATGTGTAAAAGCGAGATGGATGGTCACTAGAATATAGGATATAAAATGTATAAATTTGAGAATCCAAAGGTAGAGAGTAATATTTTGATTTAGAAAATAATGGCGAAATATTAAGGGTAAAATGATTAAAATAAAACATGCGAAACAGTTTGGAAAAATAGAAAAGGGACATTTTGTATTAATAAAAATCATTTGGCAAAATTAAAAAACAGAGTGATAAATAAAACACCTACTCTAAATTAAAAGAAAAAAAAATCCTAAGTTTTCATGGGCCAACCATAAATTATCCGTATAATTGGAATGGGCTGGACTCTAAACCTGGGCCTGCCTCGCAGTGGATCAATTTACAGTGCGAGCAACGGGTGCCTGTAGGTAATTACCAAAACAGTCACCTTCCCGCGTTTTTTCTTTCACACATCTCTCTCTCTCTCTGTAGTCTGTCTGTACACTTTGCTCGCCTCTGCGGTTCTATTATACATTCTGCTCCTCTGTGCTCGACTCACTGGGGTTAATGCAATAACAGTTTAACGACTGCGACCATTGCAGAACCAGCGACTCATGGAGGTTGCTAAACTCGCTCAAATTCTATCCGAGACGCTTAGCCACGACGTGCAGGTTGTTCATGGAGCCACCGAGTCTCTCGATCGCCTCTCTTCTCATCCCGAGTTTCCGATCGCTCTACTCTACAATACTACCGGTGAATCCTTCTTCAAGTTTTCTTACTTCCTCCTGTTGCTAAACTACTTTTTATTTTGTTCAGTCCCATCTTAAAGGGAGTAACTCGAGCTCAGAGCCAGCTCTTCCCCGGTGTCCGTTTGGTGGGCTCAGATGTATGTTTGTAGTTGTCTGTGTTTTCCGAAATGGAAATTGGGGTAATATACGTGTTATTAATTGTATTCGGATTCACCTTAGTACTTTTCAAAATGAATGTAGCGTCTGCAGGTAAAAGCACGAGTTACTCTCCGATGTATTCTGGAGATGCCAAGTTCAAGCAAATCAATCTTTAGCGTGCTACTCAATTGATTGTGACCTGCAGTTTCATCGGCTAAAATTCGAAATAATTGACTATTGTCATATTTTTGCACAAATAGAGTATAATTCAAAATTAATTATTCTTACATATTTCCTTCCATGACTCAGTCAAATTGCATGGGGTTAGCTTAATAAACCTTTAAACACGAACTTAAACTCAGGTGATATATTTATTGGCGGGTGGGGGGTTAATTGCAACAAACAAATTTAGTTGAACGTCATTGCGCTTAACCTTTAAGGTTTAGCTGTTCATACCTTCCATGTAGGAAATCAAGATCAAGGTCAAAAGATAGCTGCTGCTGCTTACCTTAAAAATTTGAGTAGGAGAAATATCGAGGGCAAACTTCCATGTTCAAAAGTCAGCAAGGGGTTCAAGGATGAACTGCTGAGAGCCTTGTTTCAAGTGGAACCGAAAGTTCTAAAAGTTTTGGTTGAAGTGGTAATTAAATTTCTTGCCTATTCTGCATGGTTAATTTACGGCACATCTCATCACGATTTGGCTGGCATATTCCTTCTTCTTATATCTCTTTTGCAACGTTCTGGCAGTTTCATAGCTTAGTGGTCAATGAGTTTGTGAAGCAGAATTCATGGCCTGAACTTGTGTCTGATCTTTGCTCTGCTATTCAAAACAGCAATCTTTTCAACGGTGGAGCAGAATGTCAATGGAATGCTATCAATTCCCTTTCTGTTCTTTGTGCGACTTGCAGACCGTTCCAGGTACATGATTTTAATTCAGAGATTTATCAAACATTTCTAATCAACAGATAAATTAATTGCCATCCTAATATATACTTACCGAAGCATAGTTTTGATCAACATCTAAATTTGTCAATATTGATGTTTTAGTGTAATTGAATATCAATTTTTTAGTTCAAACGACAGTTAAAAATTCTTATTATTTTTCCATACATCTGATTATTTTTCTTATTGTTTTTTCTATTATTTAATTCTGTACTATTATTTCTCGCTTTTTTCTATTTTACCTTTTTTTACTATGATACTTAAAACTTAGGTAATAAATCAGTGGTCAACAGGGATTTAGTGTATAACTTCCATACTCTGAACTGATATTCTTCCTGTCTGTTTTATGATGTTTTGATCAGCGACTCTTATATTTTAGGCTTAGCTCGTAATTTCGAGAAACGATGCAAGGATTGTTTGTTATATTGCTTGATAGAAGTGAAGGGAAAGTTCAGAGTTGATATAGTTTGACAGCGTGAGTTGAGGTTCCCTTAACAGCTTTGATTACCATTTTTTTTGCAGTACTTTTTGAATCCTAAAGATTCTAAGGAGCCTGTACCACCACAGTTAGAGCTACTTGCACAGGCAATTATTGTTCCCCTGCTAGCTGTATTCCATCGTCTTCTTGAAAAGGTTCTGATGGTTCCCTTTACCCATCTATGTAAATCTCATCTTCCTCAAGCAGAATTAAACGTTCCATGATTATTTCTGGTGTCATACAGGTTCTTGCTAATCATGATGGAATGGAAGTTGAGGAAGATAAGATTCTTTTGATAGTATGCAAATGTGTCTACTTTTCTGTAAGTAATTGTTCTTAACTTTCTAAATTCTCTAAACATACCTAAACTTGTTATTGTCTATTATTATTATTGTTATTATTATTTCTTGATATRAACGAAAACATTACGACGAAAATTTCTATTCAGCTAAGTTTAAAGCTTCACTTTCGTGTTTTCTTGTTGAATCTTTTACGCATTTCTCTCCATCTATGTTTAAGGCTAACTGGGAGCTTTTTATTAGTTCTGTGTGATTTTGTTTTTCATATTTTTCATCTTTTACTTTTCTTTTTCACTCTTCCAGGAGTTTGTATCCTTGAACACTTGTACTATCTTTTCATTATTTCAATGAGAAGTTGTATCTTTGTTAAAAAAAAAATTATTTTTTCTTGATATGAAACAAAACGTAAAAATTACCTAGAAAAAGATATATTTCCTAAATATTTATCATGAAGTAAAATGTATGTGGGTTACTCAAAAAAAAAAAAAAGCATGTGGGAATTTAAACATACACATAAGTCCTGGTCTGTGCAATTTTTAATTTTGTAGAACCACATATTATGTTATATCATACAAACCTTTATAAGTACGGATGAGATTTATGAATTTTGTCCTGCGCCAAACAGGCCTAGTAAATTTAGAAATGATAATTATGTAGCATGTTCTGTTCTCTTGTTTTTTGGGGTGATGCTTTTGATATTTCTGTTATCAAGTACAAATGTTTCTTACGTTGGAAATGCTTGGGTTTGGAATAATGGTGCAAGCAACAGATAAAACCTTTACCCCTAGCATTTTTTTAGTTTTTTGGAATTGAAATGTACATMGGCATTCAGGAAACCAGGGCAGAAAGCTGGATCAAAGGCACAAGTTACTTGAATGCATTTTTACTGGATAATTTACAGATGTAATAGTGTTGTATGTTTTCAATTATGAATAAAAAGTATTTGTGTTTTGAGGGGAAAAAAGTTGCTCATGCAATCACATTGCGGCAAAATATATGAAAAGGAAGAATAATCGAACCATATTATCGTGTTTTTTTCTAATAAGAAATAAATACTAAATTTAATTATTTAAATCAATAATCTCAACTGACAAAATTCATTTTTGAAATAAAATGCGTTGAAAGAGATGGAAGGATAGCATTGTGAATAACATCAAGAACTTATGACAGTTCACGATATTGCAACCTTGTTGAAGAAGTACAGTCTTCAATAAAGATGAATACGAATAATGAATAACATGGATTTCTGCACCTAATATAATTGGCATTTTAAATATTCCTCCATATTTTATTTTATTTTTCACTTACCTAACTAATTAATTACTCTCTGTCTTGAGATCTTGCAAAATTCAACGAAAGTATGTTCTTTTTTATGTAAACCCTTTGAAGCAATAAAACTTCCTTTTTTTTTTTCTGTTCTTATAATGCTATTACTTGTGTAGGTGAGATCACATATGCCTTCTGCTTTAGTGCCTCTACTTCCATTATTTTGCCATGATTTAATTGGCATTCTAGATTCCGTAAAGTTTGAGGCTGCAGTTCCCACAGAGTATGGCAATGTGAGCAGGTTAAAAACTGCAAAGAGAAGCTTGCTTATTTTCTGCATTTTTGTTACCCGACACCGGAAGTATACTGATAAGTAATACTCATACAATTATCTTCAAATCCTTAAAAATCAGAATCAATTGCTCTTGGTTACTATTCACGTTTCTCTTTCCCTTGAAATTTCAGGTTGATGCCACACATCATAAAATGTGTCTTGAACATAGTGAAATATAGCAAAAATGTCCATGTAAGTATTACTTGAGTTTGGTAAAAACATTGGCCTAAATCTGGTTATATCTAGGGACATTTTCCTACCAAGAAAACTGGGAGAGTTCTAACCCCTCTCCTCTTTTATGAAAATTATACTTTATGCTGGTTYCCCTAGCTCTTCATTGTAGGCCTTCTCTGACATTTTGGAAGTTATTAAAATTTCCTGCCCCAATTCATAAGAGACATTCTCTGTCCTGCATGCTTCCGGGACCACGAGGCAGCACTGGGATCCAATTGAAGGCAGTTTGTAGTGGAGATTAAAGTACCTTTTTGGGTCATCTGGTCTATATTTCCTTTTGTTAACTCATGTTCTAGCTTCCRTAGAAATAAATAAACAGCTTTCTGCATCTCTCTCTTTTTGTATCACTTCCATGGAAATTAAAGTTAATGGTTCTATGGAGTCCAACCATTGAAGAATGGAAAATAAAGCCTTTTTTATTGGTTTAGTTAGAATTTCACGGGGCAGTGAGATTAAGGTGGCAGAAGAGTGGTTTTTTATCTTCTAAGGCAATAATTCTTGTTCGGGGCTTTCTTATAAGGAATTATTGTTGGGGGGATTTCATGTTTAACTTCTTGAGGGGAGTTTTACTATTATTATGTAACTTCTGAAGTTTCTATGAAAAAGTTTCTATTTCTTTCTACTTCTTCTTTTTTTTTCCCTAATTATATTGTATGGTGACAAATTTTCCTCTTTTCCTCTGTCAGGATTCTGTATTTGTCATATTTGTTTATTTTCTGTTCAACATACTGCTTTGATGCTTTAATGTATCCTTTTATTGCTCATCTGTTGGCGCACTTTCATAGGTGCTTGTCTCAGTTTTCAGTAAATTTCCTTTTGACAGAAGCTCGGCTTTTTATCAGAGAGGATTATTTCGCTAGCGTTTGATGTGATTTCACATGTTCTAGAGACGGGCCGAGTATGTTTAACTCTTGATATTGAATTAATTACCCCTTCCCTTCTCTCCTTAGCAAAATGGAAAGTTAGTTCGAGGCTAATATTATCTCGTGAGGATGAGGCCTTAATTGAATCTTATCATTCGTGCTAAACAGGGATGGAGACTGGTTTCTCCACATTTTTCAACATTGATACACTCTGGAATATTTCCACCACTTATAATGAATGAGAAGGTAAAGTTTGGAGGAAACTTATATATTGCTCTTCGAAATCCACTCATTATTGTGAGTTAGACTTTAGTTAACTAATTTTGTGTCAAATGTCTGAAAAAGGACCTGTTTGAGTGGGAAGATGATCCAGATGAGTACTTAAGGAGGAATCTTCCATCTGACCTAGTAAGAAAGTCTACTTGTCACATTGAATTGATCTTCATATCAGATATTATGTTACCCATTTTGGTTATTTTATAGGAAGAAGTTTCTGGTTGGAGGGAGGATTTGTACACAGCCAGGAAAAGTGCAATAAACTTGCTTGGTGTGATTGCAATGTCAAAGGTTGGTACCTGTTTAGTTCATGGGTCCTTTCTTTTATTAAGTGTTATCAGTAACCTAATCCAAGTTCCTACAGGGGCCTCCTACAGTGACCCATACAAATGGTTCTTCAGCTTCATCAAAGCGTAAAAAAGGCAACAGGAGAACAAATAATCAACGCCCTTCTATTGGGGAGTTGGTTGTACTTCCATTTCTTTTGAAGTATCCCATTCCCTCTGATGCAAATGCTTCCCAAACTAGTATTGTAAATGAGTAAGTGTATTGAGATGCAACCTGGCTTTCCAATTTAGCTTTACATCGTACAATATGAATATCTGGAGTTATTCGTTGATCTCATATATGTGTGAACGTTTTGTTGAGTAGCATGTTAACTATTATGTGAGAACCAAACTGTTAACTAATTATGTGCACAAAAACCAATCAGTGAACTTCATTTTAAAGCAAAATTTACTAGTTCACTCTAGTCAGTGGTTAAAGATAAATCTTATTGATGGCCCAAAAAAGTGGTTGTTAGCTCTAATAAGCTTGAACGCAATCTTAGTCTTTCTTTTCCTGCTTCTTAACTTTAACTGGACTTTTTATGAAAATATGGGATGTGATGATTCATTCTTTTGGATTATCTGCTATTATATGGCAGTGAAAGTAGCGCGTTTAAAGGCTGGTTTCATAGATATTATCATTTAGATCGAGTGAAGTTTGCATATTTTATTATTTGATTTGCATAATGTGTTATTTGGTTTTCTTTACGATTCCATGCTAAAGGTATATAATGATATTGTTCTCTAAAAATTGTTTCGCAGACTAATGTTGTAAAATTATTTTCTATTATTTCTTAACTGAAAATCGTTTGGGAGGATACCACTTGGCTTATGTTTTCATTTGTCTTTTCTTTGTATCAATTAAAGAAATATAACATATTCAAATCAAGTTACTAAAAAAGAATCAAGGCTTATATATGGATACTGAATTTAGACAACAACGAAGAAAAATATGAGATAAGCAAACTATTGTTTTTTTTTTTTTTCTATTTTTATTCTAAAATGTGTGTATTTTTTTTTTGGTATCTGTTAAATCACCCCTTAACCTAAAAGCTTATGTTAATGGGTTATTGTAAATTTAATCTTTTATAGATACCTTAATACTCTCCCTGACTCGTGGACTTGAAAATTAGCACAAACCCAATAAGTGGTAATCAATATTAAATGGAGGGGGAAATGACATCACAGGGGTTCGAATATAGGACTTGTTGGTCTATACCATATGAAATCACCAGTCAACCAAAAAATTTAAGCTATGAGTTACGGTAAATTTAATATTTTATAGGTATCTTAATAATATCAAATATAATATATTAAACTATCTTTATTTTTAATAATAGATAAATGTTTATAAGCATATTCCCTGTAAATCTTAGAATAAGCATCATGACTATTCAATGACCCAAAAAATGGGTGCCTTTTATTTTCTGAAGTCGCTCAGCCACACTTTCTTCTTTCCCATTCTCAAAATTAATAATGTTTGAGCAAATATTGACTATGTAGTTTTTGGAGCCTGGAGTTCTCTATTTTTACCTTCTGTATTCCTCTGGATACATTCTCTCGGTTGCTTTATTGCCTTTTCAGTACTTTTTTATTCATTATTCCCTACTTTCTCATCAGCCTTTTAAAAACTGTATTCATAGTCCAATATGTGTAAATTAACTCCATCGATTTTTGGGTACTTTCAACTCTATACCCATTCTAACTCTCTTGTCTGTCAATGGATACAGTTACTATGGTGTTCTAATTGCCTATGGTGGCTTGCTTGATGTAAGGACTAGTTCCTGGTTTCTACATTCACGAGTAAAGTTGAATAGTCTATATTATAATATATAATTTTGCCTTTGTATTCCTCTGTATTGCAGTTTCTAAGGGAGCAACAACCTGGATATGTGACGTTTCTAATCCGCACAAGAGTGTTGCCACTATATGCTGTATCAATGTTCCTGCCATACCTAGTTGCCTCTGCAAATTGGGTACTTGGAGAGCTTGCATCCTGTCTGCCTGAAGTGAGATATCATAATCCTCATGCTATTTCTATTATGCATGCTTTTATTTTTTATGATAAAGCAATTTTAAACAAAACTTCACTTTTTGTGCTAGTTTTTCCTCTCCTCAATTGCTGCCATGTTGAGATTTGAATTGCTGACGTAATGCACTCCCACATTTCTTCTTCTAACTTTGTAGTTCTATTACAGGAGCTCTGTGCAGATATATATTCTTCATTGGTCAAGGCATTATCCATGTCTGATAAAGAGGAAATATCATTTTACCCTGTGCGAGTTTCTGCTGCCGGAGCAATACCCAAGCTTCTTGAAGTAGGCTTCTTTACCAAACTTGTTAGATCATCTGTAGGATTTATTTTATTTTGTTTTCCAGATTTTCACCAGGATTCTATAGTTTTCCTCTTCAGAATGACTACTTTCCACCTGAGTGGTTACCTCTTCTTCAAGTCGTAATAGGTGGGATTGGCCAAGATGATGGAGAGAACTCTATTTTATTTCAGCTTCTCAGTTCTATGGTGGAAGCTGGAAATGAAAACGTTGCCGTCCATATTCCTCATATCATTTTGCCTCTGGTTGGTCCAATCTCAAAAAGCATACCTCCTAATTTGGAGCCATGGCCTCAAGTATGTTCAATGGCTCCAGTGAAAAATTCCTTTTTTTTTTAAAGAAGAAAATCACTGTTGTTACTAATATGAAATAGAGCTAAAAATCATCATGGAAATTTTCAATACAACTTGAAGGCAGAAACAAATTTTCTTTCCCTCTAATTAGATGCTCATATTTTCGGGACTAGCTTCGGCCAAAGTTGTCTAAAAAATATTTATGTTTGAAGGAGTGAACAAAATTGAAAAATCAATTGTCGAATCGTGAAAGTGGTCTCATTAATTTGCACAAAAACAAATCAAGTTAGTAAAARAGTAGTCATATATATTTTTTAAATATGTAAATAGTTTAGAATTTTATACAATTAGGTCGCCAGTTACGCTCTAAATGGTTACCGAATAAGAAAAATGCTTGATAGTGAGTAAAAAAACAAAATGTGTAGAAGATCAGATTGGACCGAACTCAGCAAACATAATAGAAAATAATTAAGACAAAGTCTAATTGGACTAAACTGATAAAGTCTAGTTTGATTCTGTTCTTTAGTTGGGCACAGTTTCATMTGGTTCATGTGATACACTAAACCTACCATTTGGTTTGGTCCACACGATCTTCAAAATCTATTAAAGCAAAATTTATCTTTCTTGCTTTATTTTTTATTCAATTACCCATGGTTTGAATGCCTTTTCTCTAATTGTGTCTGAGTTCAATCTTCATGCTTGTCTCATTCTTTGGTCTATATATACTATTTTGATTTGAATTTTTTTATCACTTTCAAAATGATTAAAAGTGTCTAAGGGAACCTTTTCTTCAACAAATGATATTTAACAAGTGAATGGTCTCGCATTGATGAATTCAACGCTGCATAGGTTGTCGAACATGGTTTTGCAGCTTTATCAGTGATGGCCCAGGCTTGGGAAAACTTCATACGTGAGAAAATGGAGCTAGATGAATCATGTGAACTGTCAACATCTGATCAAGCCACAATCAGTAGGTCATTCTCGTCTCTCTTGCAGCAGGCGTGGCTTGCACCCATGTACTCATTGGTTAGTAATTTACACCCATATTCGGCGAAGTAATTTGCTAGTTAGATCTTCTTGAAGTCTTATGATTGATATGGAAATTTAAGAATGGATGTCCAATGATGGTAAAGTTCCTGCACGACTAAATCTATTTAAACTTAGTTGTTTATTTGTGCACCATAATTTTCTTATCTAATGCATTGTTGCTGTAACATGTAGATATCACTATTGCACATCTTCAAAACAATCAGTTCTTGAAACTCCTAGACTGTATTGCATCCCCCATGTGGATCATAGAATGTATGATATGTCAAGCGAAGTTCTCTGATTGGTAGTATCTTGATTCTTGAATGATAAAATCCATTTTGTTCTGGGAAATAGTCATTCCCTTGGAATTTGGATGGTCTAGTTGCTGGTTTTTCAAATTTTTGCCTCAAGATTTTACCCTCGTCTGAACTAAAGGATTGCACTGTGGTAGATTTGTTGGGATGCTTCCTCCAATTTTGATCAATCTCAAAAGAAATCTGGATGACTTGATACGGAATGGATTTTGGGTTCATTGATGGAAAGCATGTCCAACCATCAGCTTTCTAATAGTAGAGATGCTAGAGTGTAGAATATTTTTATTTTTTATTTTTTGGGTGGGGGGAGGAATAAATCTTTATGGAAATACAAACGGAAGGTCCTTAAAAGAAGCTCAAACATAGGAGCCCACAATTCAGAACAAAATAGTTACGAAAATGAGGCTTCCTAAGAATAAAATATTTGATAGTTAACAATGTTTTAAAAGGCTAAAGGCGGCCTCGAGGCTTTTTCTCTTGAAAAGGCGAGGCGTAAGCCTCRAGGCGGTATGAGGCGTAAGCCTCAATTTTAATTAAAAGAATTAAACAAATCCTAAATTTGTGTGGTCAAGTATTACCRAACATAATAGTTATATAAAATTATCAAAATATCCGCCTGTTACTTGTCACTCAAAAAAAATTCTAWAAAAACATCATAACATCACTACTATTATCACCAATAGAACTTACTTATTCTATAAATTGTTGTCTTCAATATTTTTAAAGTCTAGGTAGTAAAAGTAGTAATAGATTGAATTGTTACACTTACAACTCTTGCTTAGGATTCCATAAAAAAAAAACCTTGATATTTTTTAAGAATTGGAAAAATTAATAGTATTCTTGTAATCATTACACGAGACGTATACTTTAAGCCTCAGTGCGTTTTCAAAGAGGCGTAAGCCTCTTCTATGCGAGGCGTAAGCCTCTTATAGTCCAAAGAAGGCGTAAGAYTTGAGGCTAAAAGTTAGAGCCTTGCCTCGAGGCGGGCCTCAAGGCGTAAGCCTCAAAAGCCTTTTAAAACATTGATAGTTAACAAAAAAAGCTTTGAACTCGAACACCTAAAGGAGGCATTATGTGATCCATGCTCCTAAAATTTCTACTCGAACCCATCATCACCTTTGAAAATTCTTCTATTTCTCCTTAACTGGAAATTCCAAATAATTGTGAAGTAWGTCACCTGCAAAAAATTTGAACGCTACTATGAAAGGGAGGGTTGACAAGCACCTCTTCCATCATGTCTCCTAATATTTGTTAGGAGCAATACTAACACTAAATATTTCAAGTAATCTGCTTCAAATTTTAGACAACCAGCAAAGTGACACCTCCAAAACAAATTACCAAAGCCTTCTGCTTTCCTCTTGCATAACATATACCACCCCCAAAGCCATAGACTAAAAATCTTTGAATAAGGTCTGTAAAGTTGATCCTCACCAAAGCAATGGACTAAGTGGAGAATCTAATTTTCTCAGTCTAAGAAAGAGTAGAATGGGTAGGACAAGCTGACAACCAGCAAACAGAGATTTACAAGAAAAAGTGCTTGAATATTGAGGGTTTACTTACGATTGTCTCAGGAAACAGGAAAAAGGACGGAGACGAACTCTTTGTATTAATGATAACAAGACTGATAAATCCAAGATTTTTGGTCACAGAGGGATCTCCTAAAGAAAGGGAGGAGGGAATTGATTTTAAACAAAGATTCTGAAATTTGATGAACAAAGAGCAAAGAAGATGTCTTCATAAAAGCAAACTAATTTGGTTGAAACTTGGAAGATAGGGATGAAAACTCAACCTTCTTTGAACTTTATTTTAAAATTGATTTTAGACATGTGAAAGAGTTTCCCAAAGACAAAATCAGTTTAAGAGGAAATATTTGGATATTTTCAGCAAGCTCTATTCTGAAACAGCAAGGTACGATTTGTTCCTGGGGGGATTTGATTTTTAGATTGGAAATGAGAAGGTGATATCATTCATACGGCTAAAAGCCAAACAAAACAAAGTAAAGGACAAAGGGACAAGGAGCCCCTTCTCCAAAAGAGGGGGTCAAGCAAAGGCCGTCCAATCTAAGTTGATCGTGTAAGTAGAGTAGTGACAGAAAAAACTTGCACTCCTTTTAGAGGCATTGAACTGTTCAAGATCACAAGTATAGTAAAAAGGATTGTGCTTATCTGAAAAGATTCTAGGGTTTCTTTCCTTCCAAATATAGCACATAACACAAAAGAGATATGGATGCACTTGGTCAACTATCCTGGGGGTGTAAGTTGGTGACCCGTTTCATGTGCGAAAAGATGGGTTGAGAGACCTTTGGAAGAAAGTAAAACTTTGTTAGCCTTGAACTTTTTAAGGGGTGCTAAGGCTCCCAGCCTGATGGTGTTACTACAGAATTTCTAAAAAAAATTGGAACATTTTAAAGAAATGATCTTTTGAAAGTGTTCCTAAATTCTTACGAGGAAAGTCACCCAAATTATTGCCTCGAAGGAGAATTTTATCTGTTTATTAAGAAGAAAGAAATCGAAAAGATGAGACTTTAGACAATAGCTCAGTTACGAAGATCTATAAAATCATTGCTAAAGTGTAGGATGAGAAATTGAAGAGTTTCATGCAATATTTATAATTTAGTTTGCTTCATTTCTATATTTATTTCTCAAAAATTATAAACTTTTAGATGTCCCAGGAAATGGACGAGGACCGGGAGTTCTTGCCCCCTCCATCATGCATAGATCATTCATCAAGGTTGCTTCAGTTCATCATGCTTTCTGTTGCAGGGAGCAATAATATTTTAGAACTTAAAATATCTGAATTAGTATCAGTCTGGGCCGATCTAATTGCTGACTGGAATTCTTGGGAAGAATCAGAGGATTTCTCAGTCTTTAATTGCATTAAGGAAGTTGTAAATTTAAATAATAAATATGCACTGAAGAACTTTTTTGTGGGGCCAGCACCATCTCCTCCAGCTCCACCAGTGCCTCGAAGGTCTATTGTAGAAAACATTGGAGCTTTTATCAATCAGTCAATCTCGCAATATCCATCTGCTACGTGGAAAGCTTGTTCTTGCATTCACATGTTATTAAATGTTCCTAGTTACTCTTTTGAAGCAGAAGGTGTTAGGCAGTCACTGGTAGTCACTTTTACTCGGACATCATTTTGCCGTTTTATGGAAATCCAAGGGAAACCCAGTGCATTGTGGAAGCCTTTACTGCTTTCCATATCAACATGCTACATCTGTCATCCTGATACTGTAGAAAGACTTCTGGAGAAGTATGATGGAGGAGGCTTTACAGTCTGGGTCTCAGCCCTATGTTATATCTGTAGCAGCTATTTTGTGCCCGGTCTGTCTGCAGAATCAGAAATAAAGTTGATTGGTCAGTGGATTTTCTAAGATCTACTGGTTCTCGTTTTTGTCGCTATTTAAAAGTTTGGAGTTGTTTGAATGTATTTTTCAAAAAGTTTTTTCTAAAAACTGTTTTTAAGCATGACTTCCGAAATAGATCTTTACTGATTTCATTACAAGTCAAACTGCTTAGTTTCCCCCTCTTGATTGTTGTTTAAGATTTTAGATAAATAGTATAATTTAAGTATGCACTTTCCAATTTAACAAGAAGTTTAAAATAATCCAAATCTTTCTCTATTTCATATATAAAATAAAGCATAATAACAAAAGCCAATTTAGGCTATATTGGAAAAAGAGTAGTGAATTATAGCATTGTTTAGAATACGTATTAAATTTATGTTGCCCACCCAATGAAATTTCTGTTATTTTATTGTTTTTCAGTGATGACATTGGTCAAGGTGGTGGAACGAATTATGGAGTTAGGAAAGCCAAAAGATGATTTTCTATGGAAGTGCTTTGGTTCATTAATGGAGGCATCCATCCGGCTAAAGGAAGTGCGAGGAAAGGAAGAAGAATCTGATGATAATGAAGAGGAGGACGATGACAGTGATGAATTAGAAGATGATGAGGTTTGACTTCAAGATGTGTGCTGAATATTGCATATACTTGTATTCCCATAGATAATGTTTGTCACTAATATATCTATATATATATATATATATATATATATCTATATATATATGTATATATATATTTTTTTTGGCAAAGGAATGTTTGTCATTAATTAGCAGTTAAATATTGACACCCCCTTCGGATGTGTTTAGGATTCTGATGCTGCTGAGCTTGAAGAAACTGAAGAAGAATTTCTGAATAGGTATGCTAAAGCGGCCATTGATTTGGAAAACTCTACTCTTATCGAGGAGGCAGATGTGGATGATCAAGACCAGGATATTGAATTGGGTAAGTACATTACTACTATTTATTAAATGTTAAGTTCTTGATAAACTTGTGGACGACATCAAGTTAGGCCGGTCTTGACTGAACGTCATTTACATATTGGAAATGAAATCAATCTTTCCTATTCCTAATATAGATTTTTATCCTATATTATTCTTGATTGGTGGACTCTATGTTAATATAATCTCAATTCTTAATTTTGATGAAATATCACAACATGAATATGGTTGTTTTATTCTAAAATTGATAAACTAAAATTAAAGTTATTTTTTTCCCTTCAAAGTTCAAAATATTATTCTATATTCGATTTAAGTGCTTATAATTTCATTCGAATCTTTTAAACTCACCCAATTGGTTAACGGAACAGAATACTTTATTTCTCTATAAATCAAATGTCTTGACTATTACATGTTTTGAACTGAACCATTTTTGCTTGAAACTATCATAAAAGTTGAAGTATGGAAGRAACCAAAAATGGGTTCCTGTACTGGATGTTGCTTCATATTTTTCTCACACTGGTGCATTCTCTGACAGTGCAAAGTTACATAGAGTGTAGCGGGATGTACCACACCTAATTTCATTTACATAATTAGATTTGAGACGAAATGCAGCATGCCTGTAATAAATGGTTGATTTCTGTGCAAGGTAGTTTAGAACCAGGGCTGTTAGCTAGCTTATGTGCTCCTCACTGATGCTATTAGATAGTTGTAGGATTTTTCAACAATTGATATCTATAAACTATAGGATAGGTTGTTATCATAGTTTGAGCCCGTGACTTTTATGTAGTAAATTTGGGTTTATTCTTACTTTCCAAACTACAAGTTATTTACTTTGGAAGCTTTATATTGTTGTATGAGTTGCTTAGGGCGTTGATGACTAGTTGTAGTTTGAAATCTTGTGGTGATGAAATGTAGGTCGTTATGAAGACGTTGATGAAGAACAGATCCTGCACTCACTAGTGGAGAAATATCGCCACATCTTCCTTAGTCAAGGACAGGGGTGGCCATCAGAGCTCCTAATGAGATTTTCCAATGCGTACCCAGAATATGCTACGTTTTTCCAACGGTCTGGGTAAAGAGGAAGCAACGGCGATTATTATTTGCTGCAGTTGTGGAAGTGTTCTTCACCTTGCTGTGCGTTAAAATTAAATTATTTATATATGATGTGTATATGATTAATCTGTGGTTGAATTCCTAAAAATGTAAGAGAAGAGGGGTAGGTCAAAGTTGGTGTTCGTTTGCATCTCGACATCCTGGTGTGTGCGTGGAATCTGTGCCTTTGCTACCTGAAATGATGATAGGATTTTTCTTTATAGAAAATAGGATAAGAGCTCTTGTGTGTACAAATTTATTTAATTGGTCGTAGTTTGGGTGGGAAGTTGCGTAAAGGAACACCAAGCAGTTTGATTTTTGAAGTAGGAAGTGGAAACAAGCATGGAGGTGGAGTCACGATCGGCTGTATTCATGTATTATTATATTCCCAGACCGATTCAGTATCAATAAAACTTGGGAATTACATGGCTCCACGTTTTGTTTTGGCAGAATACATAAATATAGTCAGACTTGGATTGGATCTGGGAAGGGCAAGGGCAGGGCCTTGTACTCCTCGTTTCTTCTTGTTTGGCATACACCAAACACCAAACACCATTTGCTTCTGGTTCTAGTTGTTTTTTAACCTCTCCACCTGATTTTTGTTTTAAAAAATTATGTTTATTTTTTATTAGTAAGTTTTTCACCCTCTTCCAAATATATTTGAATTTTTCTTTATATTAAAAAAAAATTTGAATTTTTTTTTATTTTTGAAAATTTGTTAATAGATTTTGAAAATATTTATAAACATTATATAGCAAAACGAAACAAAGAAATACATATTTAATTATTAAAGATAGAAAACTAMAAATAAAATGATGACAAAGATTTATGATTCTAAACAACCGATTGTTATAGGCAGCTTAAAAGACATTAGCAACCTCCAATCCCCAGCCTAAAAAGAAAAAACTGATTTTTGTGTCAAATTTAAATCTTAATTTTATAATAGTTGTTGCATCAAACGCATCTAACATTTACAACATTATCCTGATTTTATTCGCGAAACAAATAGAAAGATGAGGGAGGGGACACGTGTCGTTCATGTATTGAAATGTTCATTTACTTGGAGGACAAGCCAAAGAGGAGAGAAGGGGGGAAATTCTATTAGTACTGGATTCTAGAGAAGCAGAAGTAGAATGGGATGGCCATGAGTCCTCGTTATTCAACTTCAAATAGTTCTGTTCTCTTAACCAATAGTTTTGTGCCAAGTGGAGCCCTAGGCTCCCTCTCTCCAGCTAACTCCCGGGCCGACTCCAGTCCATCCCCCCTCGTTACTATTTTACTATTTAGTATTTAGTGGCAATCTCGTTATTTCACAGGTCCTTGGGGGGTACTTTTGTAAGGCGCTGGATACGCTGCGTAGAGGCTTGGAATCTCCTCTTTCCGCATCGCTTCGCTGCTTTCTCAATTCTTGCACAACACACGCAAAATACCGCCCTTCCAAATTCCCCCCTTCCTCTCCCTCTCCCTCTCCCTC